TTTTTTTGAGACGGAGTTTCACTCTTGTTACCCAGGCTGGAGTGCAATGGCGCGATCTCGGCTCACCGCAACCTCCGCCTCCTGGGTTCAGGCAATTCTCCTGCCTCAGCCTCCTGAGTAGCTGGGATTACAGGCACGCACCACCATGCCCAGCTAATTTTTTGTAGTTTTAGTAGAGACGGGGTTTCACCATGTTGACCAGGATGGTCTCGATCTCCTGACCTCGTGATCCACCCGCCTCGGCCTCCCAAAGTGCTGGGATTACAGGCTTGAGCCACCGCGCCCGGCGAGCCTATCTCTTAAAAAGAAAAAAAATTTCATAAGGCCTGAAAAATTATTCAGAATTGAAACCTAGTAGAATTTAAGATGAGAGGAACTAACTGTTGGAAAGCTTTGTGGAGTAGATCTCCCCCTGCCACCCCCTGCTGTACATCATCAGTTGCCATGCCCACTTACTGGTTGTAGTTTTCATAAGGTATCCCAGAGAAATGTTCTTTCTCTTCTTCTGATCTATGTAAAGAATTTTTAAATTTAAGTTTTTCCCACAAGCCATAGAGTATTTTAAAATAATAATAAATAATGTCCCAGTCCATAGGAAGGTACAGCTAGGATGAGTACTATATCACACATTAAATAGGCTTCCACTCGGAAATCCAACATATCATTTGCTGTGGTGTTTCCCCCCAGTTCACTTGTTAGCATCCTATACATATACTTGTATACCAGAATAAATTAATATTATATTTATTGGGAAAAGCATCTAAGTTCCATTAGCTATTTATATCCTGTCTGGTTGTCTTAATTGACCTGGTCAAACTCTTCCACTAACGTCTCAATGTGAAAACTGCCAAGACCAGTAAATCTTTAGTCTTTTATTTCTTTATATGTATTGCAATAAGGATCATTCCTAGTTACAGTGAGGCTCATATGAGAACTGACATAAGAGCTTTTAGTCAAGCAGTAAAGTGTCACAATAGACAAATGTTGCCAAACTGGGTCTAAAAGTGCCATCATACTCCCAAGTGCAGCATACTTCTTTGTGATGTTAAAACAGGATACTCTAAGATTTCTAAGGAGATAAACCTACAGTGCCATTCATTCATTCAGACAGGGTCTCGCTCTGTCACCAAGGCTGGAGTGCAGTAGTGTAATAATAGCTCACAGCCTCAATCTCCTGGACTCAAGTGATCCTCCTGCCTCAGCCTCTGAGAAACGGAGACTAGAGACATATGCCACCACAACCCGGTTAAGGCCATTTTGAAATATGTTTAAAGATGGCAAAGGTTCTGGACTTTAAGGTTACAGCTTTCATGCTGGAATCCAGCCCTACTGCTTTTTCAGCATAATCTCCAATTGCAAAAGTAGATTATAGTTTTGTAAACATCAAACTTAAATTGCTATTGTGCTTATTTTCTGGCAGAGAAAGACTCCTTATGTATTGCCTCAGAAGTGGTGGACTACCCCACTACACCCCAAAATAACACTGGGTCCAGTGCAGGGTCTAAATTGGTAAATTTTAAATGTCATTTGATATGTGAAGTCTAGTATATACCATTTTAAGTAGTAATAAAGAAGATCTCTATTGTGTATTACCTAAAAATGCTTCCTTATACCTGAGTTGGTAGAGAAGATGGTAGAGGAAGAAAGAAAATGTCTATACCCACTTCTCACTAAAAGAAATTAAGTAAGCATTGGGACTCTCCATATTCATAAATATCCAGTGAAGATCACCTATGATGAAAAGCAGCTAAATTATTCTCATTAATAATGGAGAACAGTCTATCTTATAATTTTTAGAATATACTGTTTGAATATGTACACAAAATTTCTTTTGACTCATATTGAAGTTATTATTGTTTCCTTATGTTATTCTTGGTTCTTTATGCCATTTCAGTTGCTTTAAATGAATGATATTCAAATCCAAGATTTATCTATGTTTGAATAATTATAGATCATGTTGATTTGTAGGTAATCCTTTAGAAGATGCTAAGTCATTTACAGATTATAACAGTGAGTGACACAGAGGCTGGAAAATACTGGTGTGACAATGAGGTCAGAGCATTGATACAAATATGGTCTGATGAAAAAATTAAGCAAATGCTTGAAGGGGCCACAAGAAACAAGAAAATTTTTGAGGAAATTGCCAGAAGATGAATGCGGTTTGGGATAGACAGAGACCGGAAACAATGTCATACCAAACATAAAAATTTAAAATATGAATATAGCATTTTACAAAGAAAAAATGGCAACCCTCAAAGAAAAATGAGATTTTATGAAGAAGTTGAATGCATCCTAAGAAAACCAACTCTCAGAACTGCCAAATGGAAACATGGTAACCTTGGAATTGACATTAACAAAGAAAAAAATCCAGATATTCCTCTTTGCATTTTCATTTAGCAAGAGAAAAACTCTTTCAAAATAAAATCCTACCACTATTGTATGCTCAAATGACCCTTTAAAAATCAATAGAAATAGGTATCTAATTTAAGCCAAGTTTCAACTTTTTTCTAAACCTTGTACGAAAATATTCCTAATTCTTAACTCATTATCTGTCCAACTGCTTCGGTGTTCTTATTTTAGCAGACTTGAATGCTTGAAAACTAATGTATTTTAGATGATGTCATATAATGATTCTTTTCCTGTGTTTTTATTTAAGAATTATTTGAAGGTCATAACAAAAGCCAAGGAACTTTGAGCTTCAAGAGAAAAGCGCATGAAGATGGTAAGAGCCTGAGAAATGCCCAGTTCTTCCACACAGTGAAAAACTTGTTGCTTTTTCCTGATAACAGAGATATTTATTCCTGTCCTTGATAAGTTAGACTAAATATATTGTTTATGAACTGTATTAGAACAGAGAATGCTGAGAAATAATTTCTTTCATAGCTCATTGAGTGAAAGTTCCTGCAGGAGCTAGATTTTATATTTTAAAAGAAGAAAGAAGAAAAAGAGTGAGAGTAACACTGAAAGCAAATGAAAACTTGCCCAGAGTTAGATAACTATTCATTTACCGTGGTCCTTTAAATTGTACTTTGCAGCGATTGTTACAATCATTGTTAACAGATCTAAAAAGAAAAAAATCCACAGTTCCTCAAAGGTAGTCAATAATGAATATAACATTTTAATAAGTCTGAAAGTAAGTCAAAGTCAGAAGCCAACCTAATAATGGGAGCTGTAATTCCAAACGGACCCATCACGGACATCAGAAAAGATAATATAATGCAACATACCATGTAGAAGAAAGAAAATGCTCACAATACTGATAACAGGAAAACCTGAGTTCCAGTCTCTCTTTGACCCTAATTCCTCAACACAGAGCTAATCACTGCATTTCTCTGGATCTCTAAAATAATCCAGCTTTAGTGTTTTATAGATTTATAATTTATGAAATTGTTTTTTAGTAAACACAAAAAAATTGAAGAGTTAAACAAAATTTTACAAAGTAAACACCCCAAACCCACCACTCAGGACATAAAACTTACTAGCACCCTAAAAGCCTCCCAGACATTAATCATCTTCCAGCCCCAGTAAACATTATTCTCACTTCTTTCACCATAGATTAGTTTAGGATTCATACAGTAGGTACTTTTCTTTCATTCAGCATTGTTTATGAGATTTACCCACAATTTTACTCAGTAGTCTGTTATTTTTTACTGCTGTAGAATAATCCATTGTAAAAATATAAATCCCAGCCAGGTGCAGTCAATGGCTCAGGTCTATAATCCCAGCACTTTGGGAGGCTGAGGAAGGAGGATCACTTGAACCCAGGAATTCAAGAACAGTCTGGGCAACACAGTGAGACCCTCATCTCAATATTTAATTAATAAATAAATAAACGTACATCCCATAACTTTTTCAAATCTATTTCACTGTTGGACATTCCAGTTGTTTCCAGATTGGAGTTTTTATGAATAATTGCATGCCTCTCAATGGACATATGTATGCATTTCTGTTGAGTATAATACCCAGAAGTGGAAGGCAGGGTCATAGGACATGCATATATCAAGGCACTGTTCTAAGCACTTTACATATTTTAACATATTTAGTCCCAACCACAACGCTATAACATAGATGCTACCATTATACTCAATTTACAGATGAGGAAACTGAGGCATAGAGAAGTCTGTGCTCTTGAACCAATGAGGCCTCTCTGCGAGGGCAGGAACCACATCTGCCCTGTATGGTACAGTATTTCCAGTGTCTACCACAGTGCCTTAGATGCACATTATAGGAGTTCAACAAATTAGTCTTCCCCTTATAACCTGTAATCTCAAGTGAACTGAAAAGTGTATTTTTCCATTCCTGGATATAAATGCAAGTCAGATAAAACTCTTGTGCGATTAACACTTAGCAGTTTTCCTGAAAGGAGAAGTGGTTAAGGGTTAACCGCACAAGAGTATCATTCTGAGCCCACTGAATTTGAGCATTAGCCCTTACAATACACAAGTCTAGGCCAACAAATGAGGAAACAGACTCAGAAGTTAGGAGACCTGCCCAAGATTACATTGGTGTTACTGGAAAACCTGGGGCTAGATTTCAGGTTGTATGTTAAGGAGCTCTTCCCAATATTGACCAGAATGACCAAGCAGTGGTACTTGGAGGCTTTTGGGGACAGGTAAATTCTGCTTCAGACTAATGCAAAAAGCAAAGTTCTAAACAAAATAGTTATAAATGGAAGAATCAAAAATACTTATTTTGAATAAAGAATCACTGAATTATAAAATAATTAGAAGTCTCTCAAAATCAAAGACTGGAACAATTTGAAAGAACACTTTTAAAATAAGTCACTTCCTCAAACCAAAAGTTACTTTACTTGACTTAGATACACGTTATAGATTAAGGGAGTGTAAAAGTAAAACACTACAGCAATGTTACATATTTGGCCATTTTCAATCAAACATGAAAATCAAAATTAAGTTAAGATATCCCCTGCCTTAATTTGGTAGCCCTAAATAAGTTCTCTGGCAATCAAAACCTGTGTTCTCCACAAAACTAAGTGAAGATTAACTGGGAACTAGGTCCGACTGAATGCATCTCTCATTCTCACAAGTGCCTTTCTAGTGGTAATGTTCTGTATTCTGTTTGCAGAAACAGTGTCTCTATCTCTTAAGAAAAGTACTCCTGAGATCATTACAAATCAGTTTCCTCAAAGCATAATAACAGAACCAAAAGATTCTACAGAACGTTTCTGCAGACAGGAAACCCAACTTCATCAGGTAAATCTTATAAATTTTTAGAAGTAGTATGAAAATGTTTGTCATTGTAAGGTTCAAATCCTAACCCAGAGAAGTGATAATTCACTGAAGGGAAGGGTATGCTTATCACAAAATGAATCAAGGAGAAAGGCTAACTAGCTGATTCATGGGATAAATCTAAGAAATCTTCAAATATGTCCAGGCCATTCTAGTCTCCATAAAATGTGACTGTGTTTTAAAAATGAATATGTTTACTCTAAGAAGGGATGTCTGGTTTGTTCAGAACTCTGCAAACTACTGAGATGATGTTTTCAGGACCAAAACAGCATGTGATTATGTGAATCTGGCATGAACATACCCACAACATATGCATGTATAGTTTACAGCTAAAAGGACATTTGAAAATTCCCCTTCAGAAAGCAAAGCTACAGAATAACTCTGAAGATAGCCAGAATTACTAAAAAGGGGTAGTACATCTGGATGAACCCATCTTGGTTAAATATCCAGTGCATGGCTGTTTACTAATTGATACTCTATTTTTATATGAAATAGGTAATATACCTTCCAGTTATTCTGTTAACTCCAGGACTAAATATTTTAGATTAGATTATGCCCAAGACAAAAAACTGAACGAAAAACAAAGCAAAAGTAGTAGAAATCTCACCTTCTAGATTCCATCTTCTTAAAGATAAAGTTGCCCAGGCATGGTGGCTCACGCCTGTAATCCTAGCACTTTAGGAGGCTGAGGTGGGTGGATCACTTAGGCCAGGAGTTCGAGACCAGACTACTAAAAATACAAAACTTAGCCAAGTGTGGCAGTAGGTGCCTGTAATCCCAGCTACTTGGAAGGCTGAGGCACGAGAATCGCTTAAACCTGGGAAGTGGAGGTTGCAGTGAGCTGAGATCATGCCACTGCACTCCAGCCTAGGTGACAAAGTGAGACGCTGTCTCAAAAAAAAGAAGATAATGTATAAGAAATAAATTCCTTCATCAAAAAGAAAAAAAACCCAATTAAACCTTTTTGCAGTTGTTTTAAAACTAACCAGTAGTGAATGAGGGTGGGAAAGCGCAAACAGCTTTCTGCAACAGACCACCACTTCTCAGAGTACACCATACACACACACACACACACACACACTTATACATATATATGTAACTAAACTACTATTAAGCTATGACAACCTAACTAGGCTCTAGTTTTGACGTTCCTAGATTCAACGCCATACAAAAATGTTAGTTCTGGAGGGGTGCCATGGCTCACGCCTGTAATCCCAGTACTTTGGGAGGCCTAGGTGGGAGGATCAATTGAGGCCAGCAGTTAGAGACCAGCCTGGCCAACAAGGCGAAATCCACCCTGACATGATAAAACTCTGTCTCTACTGAAAATACAAAAATTAGCCAAGCGTGGTGGTGCATGCTTGTAATCCCAGCTAGTGAGGTGGCTGAGGCAGGACGATTGCTTGAACCCAGGAGGCAGAGGTTGTAGTGAGCCAAGATTGCCACCACTGCACTCCAGCCTGGGCAACAGAGAGAGACTTGGTCTCAAAAACAAAAAAAAAGCCTCTTTTTCTTCAGGCACACATTTAAAGGAGAGAAGAGAGGGGGATGAAAACTTCCTGAATAACTTTGGCAAAAAAGTAAATATAGTGAAGAACAGTTCATATATATTTTCTATAGACCACCAGGCAACCCTAAAGACCTCTAGATTCTCCCCCACTTCCATGACAGAATATCCAAAAACACTACCAGCTAATTTTCGTATTTTTAGTAGAGACGGGGGTTTCACCATGCTGGTGATGGTCTTGATCTTGACCTCATGATCCGCCCGCCTCGGCCTCCCAAAGTGCTGGGATTACAGGCTGAGCCACCACCACAGGCGATAACTTCTAAGAATGTTATAAACTAATGTTGCTCAGAACTACCACATAATCAAGAGTTTACTTTCTCCTTGGATTATGTAACTAATCGTTTCAATGTATGTGTTGTTTTTTTTTAGAGAAATCTATTATGATCAACCCATAATTATCCAAGATTGGAGTTACGCAAGTTAAAAATATTCTTTTTGATGCATCCCACATTCTCAGTTCTATAGTAAACATAAAATGTGAAACTGAAATTCAAGTATTTGGGACAAGGAAAACAGCAAAAAGTACTTCTAATTTAAGTTTGGTTGAGGGAAAGCTAATCATTTGGAATGCGTTTATACACATTGCACCCATTTTGCTGTTAAGTGTTATTGCCAAGTTCCTGAACTGTACTAGATATTGTTATTACTGTATTACCTTACGGAAACTTTGTAATACTTTCAGTGAGAGTATCAAACCCAGGTTTGTGTCTCTTACCCTAGAGTAATAATTTATATCAACTTCCAGTTAAGTCAGGTAGTAAGAAAAGGAAAGATCCCTGAGCGAACTCTTTTTTTTTAAACTCAAAGGGATCTCCCAATTTTTCAAAATCAAGTGTATGGATCTTGTCAGAGACACTACTCCCCTTTTGAAGGAGGGAGTTACTTTTTGTCATCTTATTACCAACGTTTTCATTCATTAGGTAAGACATTTACCAATGAATCTTTTCCAGATGCACTATTCCCTATGGTTGGTTTATTTTCACTTAATTTATTTGACATCTACTACCGGTAGTCCTTCTAAACATCAACTAGTCATCTTTCCGTGGGTCTTAAGTCTAGGATCCTCAAGTTCCCATAGCGATATCTACTTTCAAATCCATCATCTGCTCAATAGCTCTGCCACTGCAAACAAAAGCTTGTGGTGGTTGGAGGCCCCGCGCGAAAACCTTTAGGTGTTGTAGGACCTGGACCGGCCGCCACGCCACACTAACCTATTACAGGAGCAGCCACAGGCTCGGGGAGATTAGAACCCGCAAGCAGTGGGAAAGGAGCCCTGACCCAGCTAGACGAAGCAAACCAGAGCCTTACAAGCTGGCCAGCCTCTGGAGGGATGCACAGACCGGGGGGCGGGGAAGGAGAGAGCCCCTAAAAGGCATGAGAGGCTGGAAAGGTGGGCAGGACAGGCTAAAGTTCCTGAAAGCGAGGCGCCCCACGTGCCCAACGAGGCAACCAGGTCGATGCCACAGCCAACTACCAGTTCAGGGAGGAGAGGTACGTCCTCCCAGCCCTCGACGCTCACGAGAACGCCGACTGCGGGAAGCGGTTCCAAAAGATGAAGACGCACGACCCCACCACCCCTACCCTGTTGCTCACCGGTGCTGCAGCCCCACGAGTCCCAGAGTGATCACATGCGGTACATCCAGCTGCGTGGGCCACTCTCCTGAGGCGATGCACCCAAACACGCCACATTCCTCTCGGATCCCCAACTCTTCCAGCTCCATGTCGCCGCCGAAAGCACGTGGAGGGATCCGCCGCTGCGGCCAAGGTTAAAGGACCAACCAGCTGCCAGCTCCGTCCGTCCAGCTCAGGAGCTCGCGCTCACGACGGGCGCTTCCTTCCCCGAGGCTGGCCCCAGCTACTGCGGCGGCGCGCGCTGTCCCTAGGTGGGTGTGGCCAGCTAGGCCCTGCCACGCCCCCTCTGAGCCCACCAACAGCCGAGGGCGGAGGGGCGGGGCCACGGATACTGTGGGGTGGAGCTAGCCGTCCCCTAAGAGCTGTCTGGAAATCCGTATTAGCTGCACGTGGAAATCTCCGTTATTTTCCAGCACCGAAGACTAGCGTAATGGGAATAACGGATTTAACGCCATTTCTCTTTCAGAGCATTTAGCTTTCATATGCCCTTCCCCACATGCCTACCCCAGGCAATCACGACTTGGTACGCCCCAACCTCTGAGGCGCTCCAGCGGCCGAGAAAGGGCCGGGGTATGCGAGCTTCCGCCGAGTGGGGAGGGGCCGCCAGTGCGCGCCACTTTTCGCCTGTCGGGGCACTGCGCCAGCGCAGGGCAGCCCAGAGGCGGGGTTGCGTCGCTGCGCCTGCGCGGCGGGAAGCCGGCGGGGAGTTCTTTCTCCAGAGGTCCACGTTCCAGTCTCCGCCTAGACCCTTCTGGGTTCGGCAGTTGTCGCGGTGTTGGAGTGGCGCAGGGTCGCGCGTCCCCGGCAGGGGGCGTGTCTGTGGGCCGCGCCTCCTTCTCCGCCCCGCGAGCCTCTCTGACCACCCCTCTTTTCTAGAGTTCTGCCTCGCTTCCTGGCGCAGTCGCAGCTCTCAGCCCACTCAGGATAATGGCGACAGCTGAGGGTGAGTAACAGGCGTCCCGGCCCTCCTTGGTCTTCCTGACCCCCCGGCCGTGAGCTGGCCGTGAGCTCGCGGCCACTTGCGAGTCCCGGAGCTCTGTCCGGACTCCCTGCGGCCGCGCCTCCAGGCCTCCGTGCAGGCGCACACGTGGCCCAGGCTGTCCTGGGCCTCCCTGAACTTACTATGCTGCCTCCGGGAGAAGGAGCAAAGCAGAGGAGAACGAGAAATAGAGGGGTTGGAAAACTGCCTGGAAGTATCATTAGTAATCAATAGCTATTGCAATATAGAAGCAAATCTGGTGTTGATTCGTCAGACCTGAGTCTTACTTTGCCCGTTAGGTTAATGACATTTCTAAGAAGGTTAATAATTGAAACTTGAAAAACCTATCTAGGGGCCAGGAGCGGTGACTAACGCCTGTAATCCCAGCACTTTGGGAGGCCGAGGCGGGCAGATCACCTGAGGTCAAGGAGTTCGAGATCAGCGTGGCCAACATGACAAAACCCCGTCTCTATTAAAAATACAAAAAATTAGCCGGGCATGGTAGCGGGTGCCTGTAATCCCAGCTACTTGGGAGGCTGAGGCAGGAGAATCGCTTGAACCCGGAGCCAGAGGTTGCAGTGAGCCGAGATCGCACCACTGCACTCCAGCCTGGGCAACAAAGCGAGACTCCGCCTCAAAAAAAGAAAAAAAAAAAGAAAACGAGAGAGTGAGTGTATGCGTGTGCGCGTGTGTGTAAGTAGTCTGATGCCATGGAGGTGTGTGTGTGTTTGCGCCTACGCGTGCGCTGAAGTCTGATGCCACGAGAGCTTGGGGGTTGTGTGTGTGAGTACTCTTTGTGTCTGTGTGTGTATGTGTGCGCTCTTACGTAGTCTTTGATGCCAGGGATGTGTGTGCGCACGTGTGCGTGCGCTTTGAAGTAGCCTTTGATGTCGTGATGGCTTTGGAGAACCTCAAAACCCGCAGGCAAAAGAAGTTTTCTTGCTTCGACTTTGGATTGAACAAATTTACAAAGTTACGCCATCAGTTTGTCCCGGGGTGGTCAGATCCTCAGGAAAGATTGTTCTTGCTATTAATGCTGGAAAAACAAAACAAACAAACAAAAAACGTTGGTTTGTTCCACACACCCAATTGCCATAAATGTAGTGAACGAAATTGCTTGTATTGGCTGGTGGGTACATTCTTTTCCACATAGAAAGTAACTGAATTTAGACTTTCAAAAGTTGTAGACTCAGCAAAAAAGATTCAGATGATATTAACTCCCTAAAATCAAGGCATTGGACCAGAGTGTTTCTGCAATCATGGTCTTGTACCTCTAAACTGGCAAATCTCTAAAATCTTTGCTCTTCTACTTCTTTCCATTTTGCATTACCATTGGCAGGTTGATTTTTCTAAAATGTCACTTTTATGGTCTCTAAAAGGTAAAAGTGTTTCATGCCGTCTCTAGAGAAATGCCTTTTCTTTCAAATCCTGAATATTGCTATCCTTTCTACCTCTTCATCCCTAACTTTCATTTTTCTCTAACTTGAATCCTTAGCTTATGTTCCAGTCAGGTTAATTCACCAAAGTTTGCTTTTCATTATGTACATTTTATTTATGTTTTCCTCAGAACATTGCTGGCTAATGGAAATATAATGTAAATTTATCTTAGGAGCCACATTTTAAAAACCAAAAAAAAAAAACTGGTGTAATGCGTTTGTGTGTGTATCTATATATATAGACACACACACATATATATATACATATATGTGTTTTTTGTGGGTTTTTTTTTTTTTTTTTTTGGACAGAGTCTTACTCTGTGGCCCAGGCTGGAGTGCACTGGTATGATCTTGGCTCACTGCAACCTCTGCCTCCCTGGTTCAAGCGATTTCCTATCTCAGCTTCCCGAGTAGCTGGGATTACAGGCGCACACCACCACACCCTGCTGATTTTGGTATTTTAAGTAGAGAAGGGGTTTTGCCTTGTTGGCCAGGGTGGTCTCTAACTCCCGACCTCAAGTGACCTGCCCGCCTCGGCCTCCCAAAGTGCTAGGATTACAGACGTGAGCCAGTTTTAATATATTTAACCCTATATACACAAGATAGGTTTCAGCATGTAGTCAAGATGAAAAACTGTTTAGGTATTTTGCGGTTTTTTCATATCTAATGCAGGCTATATTTTAACACTTAAATCACATCTCAACTTGTAATAGCCTCATTTCTAGTGGCTGGCCTTATTGGACAGCAGAGTCCTAAAATTTTCTTAAATGCTTTGTGCTTTCACAGACTCTTAAATTTCAATTCCATGAACCATTTTTAGTCCTCATCAATCTTTTCTGAATTCATCTACAAATTTGTAGCCATCATTTTGGCACTGGTAGTATATGTCACATATGGTTGTTTCTTATGTTGTTTCTACCTGTTAATTGAAATTCCTACCCTATTTAATGGCTAAGTAATACAGGTTCAACTAAATTAAGGGGAGGGGCATTCGATACAAACTTTGCCAGGCTTATTGCATTTTAATTTATATAAATGTTAATTTCTTTATCTGCCATGGGTACTTTTTTTTTTCTTGAGACAGAGTCTTACTCTGTAGCCCAGGTTGGAGTGCTGTGGCACGATCGTCACTCACTGCAACTTCCACCTCCCGGGTTCAAGCAATTATCTTGCCTCAGCCTCCTGAGTAGCTGGGATTACAGGCATGCAGTATGGCATCTGGCTATTTTTTGTATTTTTAGTAGAGACGGGCTTTCACTATGTTGATCAGGTTGGTCTTGAACTCCTGACCTCAAGTGATCCGCCCACCTCAGCCTCCCAAAAGTGCTGGAATCGCAGGTGTGAGCCACCACGCATGGCTCACTGCTCTATACTCTTACCTCTCTTTTATCCTCCATGCTGAATTCTCAAAGCTACTGTCTTAAATATCTTGTGTCTTTGCCCACTACTCTTTCCTTAGACCAAGACATTTCTTTTTTCTTTTTTTTTTTTTTTTGGACAGGGTCTCACTCTGTCACTCAGATTTGAGTGAAATAGCGCAATCTTGGCCCACTGCAGCCTCGACCTCCCCAAGTAGCTGGGACTACAGGCACGCACCATCATGCTGGGCTGATTTTTGTATTTTTGGTAGAGGTGCGGTTTTGCCATGTTGCCCAGGCTGGCCTTGAACTCTTGAGCTAAAGCAGTCTGTCCACCTGGGCTTCCTAACGTGCTGAGATTCCAGATATGAGCCACTATACCTGGCCAGGACATTTCTTGTTCAAGCTACTGCATCAGCATCCTAACTGGTCTCCCAGGCTCTAGTTTTTGTTCACCCAGCCCTTCCTCCCTTCACTGTCCATACAGAAGCCATAATTCATCAACACTACCTACCCCTTTTTCACTTTTGGCTAAATTTTGATCATTCTTCAGATTGCGACATGTCACTTTCTTGTAGACTTCCTTTTCTAATGTCTAGACTAGTCCTGTAGTCTGTATTTATTGCATTCTATTATTATGATGTCTTGTTTAATATCGACTTCCCTCAGACTCAGGTCTCTTGAGAGCAGGGATTCTTATTTACTTGCATATCCCTTGGCACATGGATACATTGGGAAAATGTTGTTACTGAGCGTGTTCTGGGGGCATGAGGGCTGATTTCTCCCTTTGGAAATTTTAAGTTCCAAAACATCTATTACTTTTAATCTTTCTCTAAATCATCCTTTCATGTACTTCTTAGGTCTTGTGATCAGCATCAACATTGGATTCCTTTGTGCTCACTTCCTCACAATTTCTTAAAACTGTTAGTGAAGAGAAAGGGTTATTGGGGGCATTAAGAAATAGAGAGTGGTGCTTCCAAATGGGCTAACTTCAATGGAATGGTATGCCTCCTTGAATATTAACTTGAAATCAAGAAACCCATCTGGCTGAATGTTTCCATTTGCCTGCAAAAAAGCAAATATCAGCAAAAATCACATTTTTTTTTCCAGCAAGCTACTCAAAACTATATTGTGAGTGTGTCTATGAAAATACTAGTATATTTACGTTACTTTTAATGTGTCTTAATTTTAATTTTAGTTCAGTTCTGCCATGAGAGGCAGGTTAATAGTGGAAAGAGGACAGGATTTGATGTCACAGGACTTAGAATTTTATCTAGCTCTTGTTTCCTAACTGCATGATCCTCAGCCTTTTTGGTTTCTGCTTTACTAATTTCTATAATTATTTACATAATTAAAATTCCTCACAGAATTATGTGAATCAAATGTAATGATATATGAGAAAAACATTGTAGAGTATATGATTTTATGCAGATGATTTAATTTTTATTAATATTACTTAATCACTGTATATTTAATGAATCATCATTCTAGATGACTTAGTCTTCAGTATTCAGGAAACTTCTTTCTCAATTGTGATCTATTTGCATTTTATTTCCACAGTACTGAACATTGGTAAAAAATTGTATGAGGGTAAAACAAAGGAAGTCTACGAATTGTTAGATAGTCCAGGAAAAGTCCTCCTGCAGTCCAAGGACCAGATTACAGCAGGAAATGCAGCTAGGAAGAATCACCTGGAAGGAAAAGCTGCAATCTCAAATAAAATCACCAGTTGTATTTTTCAGTTGCTACAGGAAGCAGGTAAGCAGCTCCCTCACAGTCAGCCCTCCCACCTTCTCTGGTAAGTACATTGATGTCTTTCACGGGAAGTTGGCTTTAAGGTTAACAATCTGTTTGCAGATGTCTCACAAGCTAAGTGAATTTAAATCAAACTAAGAACTCTTAAACTTCACAACAACACTTTATTTGGTTTGGAATTATTAGTGTTATTGAATTAAAACGAATCTTAACAAGTTTGCTGTAATCTTTATTGGCACATGCACTCTCTATGCAGCTTACCTCTCCAAGGCCATCTTCAGTCTTAAGGAATTTAACTGTGAAGGAAACCCATTTTAATGTTAAGCAGTTCTAACAGATGAACTGAAATTTACCCCCTGCTATACAAATGATCTTTGTTCTGCCTCTGGGAGATGATACAGAATTTCAAATTCCTCTTCCACTTGAAAGCCCTGAAAAGTATTTGAAGACAGCAACCAAACCTTCTCCTGCCATTCCCCAAGTGAGAGATTTGAACTAAAATTCCAGAGTGCCCTCCTGTTCAAAAGCTGAATAAAGGCTCTATTTTCAGTAAGAGAAATAGATTCTAAAGACCAAATGAAGATCAGAGCATTGTGTGGTGGGTATTTGGAGCAAAGGAAAGGAATTAGGATAAAGGGTTTTTCTACAGGGATTCATTCAGTTGCTGGTTGGTCTGTAGTATATGAAATTTCAGCTAGGAAAGGATTTGAACTCTTTCCCCACAGTGTAAACAGCCTCATTGCTTTGGATCATTCAACCAAATGATTTTTTGATCATTTGAAGCCTCACCTATGAAATAAAAGCTTTGTTCTTTATCATTCCTGCCAGTTCTAATTTTACAATAACTTTCCTTACTTTTAATTTCAATATTCCCAGTTGTCCTTTCATTTCTTAGTTTCTAGTAGCACTAATCTTTCTTAAATTCAAAAGGGCATTTAATGCTTTTGCTTTCAGTTAAGTTAGCTATACCTGCCTTCCACAAAATAACAAGGTAATGCAGTTTAAATTCATTGTCAGTGCATTCCTGGAGTAGTTTTGTCTATTCCAAAGTATCCTATTTCACAATTTTGGTTAATGTGAAAAAAATTTAATTGCAAACCTGGATTGTCACCTACATCATAAATCCCTCTATGCTGTGAAAATGATTGTATTACTATAAATTTAAAGGACCTTCCAGAGTTCCGAAGTCACAGAATCTAAGATTTTTACCTCAAGGTTTCTTGGTTGGTGGCTTCCCAATGACTGATGTAATTTCTAAAGAGAGCATCAAATTAATTTTAGGTTTCTTTTGCAATACAGATAAGTGTTCCATTGATTGATTGATAGAATCTTGCTTAGTTGCCCAGGCTGGAGTGGAGTGGCACAATCTTGGCTCACTGCAGTCTCTGTTTCCTGGGTTCAAGTGATTCTCATGCCTCAGCCTCCCCAGTAGCTAGGATTACAGGTGTGTGCCACCATGCCCAGCTAATTTTTGTGTTTTTAGTAGAGACGGGGTTTCACCGTATTGGCCACGCTGGTCTCAAAGTGCTGACCTTAGGTGATCCACCCACCTTGGCCTACCAGAGTACTGGATTGCAGGCGTGAGCCACCTCACCCGGTCTGTTCCACCAATCTTTTGCTTCCCAAGTTTTATCTCTCCCCATCCACTTAAACTTTTAGAGTGCTTAACCCTTTAAAATGTTAGCAGTCAGAAGATTAGTTTCTGGGTACCCTTGGTAGTTCCACATAGCTACAGGATTATATTAAGTAATGGGAGATAAAACCCAAATTTTTGTTTGCTTATTCAATGTATTTTCACAGTATATTTACACTCATCCCATTATCCATTTCCAGAACTTTATAACAAGTAAATTAGAGTGACTTAGTTGTGTTATGTTTGTCCAGGACTATCTGTTTTGACTCTGAGAGTCCTGTGCCCAGGGGAACAGGGAAGGATGGTTACCTAAATGAAATACTCCAACAATTATCTTTAAACTACTTTATTTGGCATTTAACATAGCTAAACTTAATTGGTTCACAGGAAATATTGAAAGTTATTTTCCAGGTTTTATGTCTAGTACTGTGAAACTAAGTAAACCTGAATTTTTTAAAATTTCTAAATAGACTAGTTTTAGGGTACATGTTAGGAATTCCATTAAACCTTATGTAATTATCAATATATAGGTATTAAAACTGCCTTCACCAGAAAATGTGGGGAGACAGCTTTCATTGCACCTCAGTGTGAAATGATTCCAATTGAATGGGTTTGCAGAAGAATAGCAACTGGTTCTTTTCTCAAAAGAAATCCTGGTGTCAAGGAAGGATATAAGTTTTACCCACCTAAAGTGGAGTTGTTTTTCAAGGTAATTATCTTATGCCTCTATTTTATGTCATACTATAACACAGCAATAAATTTATAATTAGAAAATCTAATGTTTAAATATTAAAGCAAAGTTTTTGATATTTTGGTATTGCCAACGTCATTCCAAAATGTATATTGTATCTAGTTGCCAATATGTCAATAATGTATACTTCCATTAGCAGTGATAAATCAAATTTTAAAAGAAAGCATCTGAAAATCTACTTACCTTTGAACCAAGATGATTAACAGGAAAAAGAGACAACATTTAAATAATTTTTTTTAATTTAGTTGAAATCACTTTATATTCTAATACAGGAAAGCTATACTAACAATGTCTCTTTTAAGTGAAAATATATAAAGGTTGTAGGAATCAGTGGTTATGAATTTTTATAGGCTTTACTGCTTTAACCATCTTGATTTATGTTAAGCATAGATCTGCTTGAGAAGCAATATCAGTGTTGCTTTTTAATCAATAAGTTACATAACTTCTGTGTATTGTGATTATATAGATCAAGATTTATTAAAGATATTGTCATATAAAGTTGGGACACTGCTTAGAATAAAATGAAATTATTTCATTTTTTCACTTACCTCTTTGTCTGAGGTCTCTTGAATTATCAAATAATGTCCCTGAAAAATTGTAGTCCTGTGCAAATTCTAATAAAAAGTGAGGTCAGGAGGTTATGAAGACTGTGGTTTTGGAAAGATTTGATTGATTAAAATGTGCTTTGGCCTCCCTGTCATGTCTGATGACTGCTACTAAGGGAAATCAAAAATCACAAATTTAAATTCTGTTTAAATTGGTTTATAGAGAGAGGTCAAATTCTTTGAAATAGTTTGTGACCTAGAATAAGTTACTCACCTAAATACTTTGAATTTTAAAGTATTATTGAGAGTAGACAAATTAAGAGTAATAGTTTTTTCTGCTTACAGGAGCTAAGTAGGAAAAAAAAAAAGGAGTAATAATTGCTTTGAATTAAAGGGTATCATAAACAAAAAATTTCTTTTTTTTTTTTTTTTTTTGAGACGGAGTTTCGCTCTTGTTACCCAGGCTGGAGTGCAATGGCGTGATCTCGGCTCACCGCAACCTCCGCCTCCTGGGCTCAGGCAATTCTCCTGCCTCAGCCTCCTGAGCAGCTGGGACTACAGGCACGCGCCACCATGCACAGCTAATTTTTTTTTTGTATTTTTAGTAGAGACGGGGTTTCACCATGTTGGCCAGGATGGTCTCGATCTCTTGACCTCGTGATCCACCCGCCTCGGCCTCCCAAAGTGCTGGGATTACAGGCTTGAGCCACCGCGCCCGGCCTAACAAAAAATTTCTTTAGGTGTCTCACTTTGTTGCCTAGGCTGCTCTTGAACTCCTAGGCTGAAGTGATCCTCCTGCCTCAGCCTCCTTAAATTATTGGGATTACAGTATGAGCCATTGCACTTGGTTGAAAATTTCTAAGGAGTTCATGCTTAAGGTGAAAAAGATGTTAGTTTTTCTGAAAAGTTTAAAAATTTTAGAGTTAAGTTAATTGTACTACTATACTTTATTCACAGGATGATGCCAATAATGACCCACAGTGGTCTGAGGAACAGCTGATTGCTGCAAAATTTTGCTTTGCTGGACTTGTTATAGGCCAAACTGAAGTGGATATCATGAGTCATGCTACACAGGCTATTTTTGAAATACTGGAGAAATCCTGGTTGCCCCAGAATTGTACTCTGGTTGATATGAAGGTACAGATAAAATAATGGGATTTGAAAGTAAAGGTTATAGTTGAGAGATGTTTTCATAGAATAGGTTTTGAAAACTTTGTCGATATACTGTTTCCAGATTGAATTTGGTGTTGATGTAACCACGAAAGAAATTGTTCTTGCTGATGTTATCGATAATGATTCCTGGAGACTCTGGCCATCAGGAGATCGAAGCCAACAGAAAGACAAACAGGTAGTTAATGATCTTTTATCCTTTTTGAGATCAAACTGAGACAGAGGAGAAAGGAGAGATGAGGGGAAAAGCAAATTATTATTCCAAATGATAGGAACTTGATATGTTGATTGATGTTTATTTTTAAAGATAAATATCTCTGGTATCCTAATATAAGAGTAATAGGAATAATAATTTACATTTATAAAGCAAATGTCTCATTATCTTAATTACATTTTCACAATAATAACAGCAAGTACTATCTTTGGCTAAATGAAAACTAAGTATCTTAAGAAGATGGGTATCTTCATAATTATTAGAGTCAGGGACAGATCTGGACTCTATCCCAAGTCTCCTGGATGTTACCAGGCTCCATTTCTGTTCCTGTAAAAAACAAAAGACACTTCTCAAAAGAAGACATTTATGCAGCCAACAAACATATGAAAAAAAGTTCATCACTGATCATTAGAGAAATGCAAATCAAAACCACAATGAGATACCATCTTATGCCAGTCAGAATGGCTATTATTAAAAAGTCAGGAAACAGTAGATGCTGGTGAGGCTGTGGAGAAATATAAAAGCTTTTACACTGTTGGTGGGAATGCAAATTAGTTCAGCCATTGTGGAAGACAGTGTGGTGATTCCTCAAGGATCTACAACCAGAAATACCATTTGACCCAGCAATCCCTTTACTTTATATACCCTTTACTGGGTATATACCCAAAGGAATATAAATCATTCTATGAAAACGTAGTTTATTGCAGCACTGTTTACAATAGCAAAGGCATAAAACCAACTCAAATGCCCACCAACGATAGGCTGGATAATGAAAATGTGGTACATGCACACCATAGAATACTATGCAACCATAAAGAAGAATGAAATAATGTCCTTTGCAAGGACATGGGTGAAGCTGGAGCCATCATCCTCAGCAAACTAACACAGGAACAGAAAACCAAACACTGCATGTTCTCACTCATAAGTGGGAGTTGAATAATGAAAACACATAGACACAGGGAGGGAAACAACACACACTGGGGCCTGTCGGGGGGTGGGGAGCAAGGGGAGGGAGAGCATTAGGACAGATAACCTAATGCATATGGGGCTTAAAACCTAGATGATGGGTTGATAGGTGCAGCAAACTATCATGGCACATGTATACCTATGTAACAAACCTGTACATTCTGCACATGTATCCAGAACTTAAAGTAAAATTTTAAAAAACAAAATTAGAGCAAGACCCTTTCTATACTTTAGAAGAATTCTCAAGCAATTAATTGTACTTGCTAGTACAGAAAACACTTAAATGAAAATAAAAGTATACTTTACTATGGAACTTCCTATAGTTTAATTCAGGAAGTGAAAAGATGCATTTTCAGAAGTATCCCTTGCAATACAAACTCTTTAAATCCCTCCCCAAAACTCAGAAACTAAATAGTTTCAGGTAGCAAGAGATACTTGTTTTTTTTTGTTTTTTTTGAGACGGAGTTTCACTCTTGTTAGCCAGGCTGGAGTACAATGGCGCGATCTTGGCTCACCGCAACCTCCTCCTCCTGGGTTCAGGCAATTCTCCTGCCTCAGCTTCCTGAGTAGCCGGGATTACAGGCACGCGCCACCATGCCCAGCTAATGTTTTGTATTTTTAGTAGAAACGGGGTTTCACCATGTTGACCAGGATGGTCTCGATCTCTTGACCTCATGATCCACCCGCCTTGGCCTCCCAAAGTGCTGGGATTACAGGCTTGAGCCACCACGCCCGGCAGAGATACTTGTTTTCTAAACTTTCTGTCTTATTTTCCAGTCTTATCGGGACCTCAAAGAAGTAACTCCTGAAGGGCTCCAAATGGTAAAGAAAAACTTTGAGTGGGTTGCAGAGAGAGTAGAGGTAAACCTTCTATAATAAAACTATACTGTGTGTTTTTCTTCTAAGAAAATCTTATTTCAAAAGAAAAAAAGTGGGAGAGTATAGTGCTTTTCTTTTCAGTGACTTTGAAAGTGAGGAACGCTTTTAGGAAATGAATCAGCAGGGCTATCCTTACTAGTATACTGGAACTCCCTGCTGTTAAGCTGGCCAATACACACCTCCCAGATCCTGTTGGGGAAACCTGGAATCTGTCTCCTCCCTGCCCCATAGGAGAAACCTTGTATTTCCTACTCACCTCCACTGCTAGGCAAAGTTCCATTAGCATGGGATGGATGGAAATGGAACTCTGTGTGACTTTAAATGTTACTTTAACTTTTATGGTATTACTATAATTCTGGGAGTTGAATGGGGTTTGTGATTATGCAAGGGTCATAATCATATTTGAGAACATTATTCTCATAGGAATATATATTTTTAGTTCCAAGCAATTAACTTACAAAGACTTAAAACATGACTTCTGATTTGGCTGATCATACCTTAAAGCTTTCATTAAACAAAGTGCACTAAAGGTCTTTGGATGAAATGTTTTATATTATAATTTCCTAAATATTAATTAAAAGATTTTGAGTATTCTTACTTTTTAAGCAAACATAATTTGTCTGATAAAAATTGAGTTCTTTAGATCTTAATGACCGTTTTCCTTTATATATTGAGATTATTTTAAAAACTTAATCCTGCCTTTTTTGTTTTGTCTCTGTCTTAAATTTGCTTTGTTAAGGGAGAAAATATTGTGCCCAGATATATTTTAATACAAACTGTAGCTCATTGATTCATTTTTGTTTTTATGTTATTTTCATATCCATGTATTTCTTCTCCAGTTGCTTTTGAAATCAGAAAGTCAGTGCAGGGTTGTAGTGTTGATGGGCTCTACTTCTGATCTTGGTCACTGTGAAAAAATCAAGAAGGCCTGTGGAAATTTTGGCATTCCATGTGAACTTCGAGTAACATCTGCACATAAAGGACCAGATGAAACCCTGAGGATTAAAGCTGAGTATGAAGGTAAACCACAAGTAATATGGACATTTCAGGTATTTTTGATTTTGTTAAAAGTAATTACACACTTTAGACTAATAATGCTGAAAAAGAGCTTTGTCACCTTTCTAAAGGAAAACATGATATACTAGGCTCCCCCCCCAACCCACCCACCAGAAAGAGTCTTGTTTTGTCACCTAGGCTAGAGTACGGTGACACAATCTCTGCTCACTGCAACCTCCACCTCCTGGGTTCAAGTGATTCTTCTGCCTTAGCCTCCCGAGTAGCTGGGATTACAGGCACGTGCCACCATGCCCAGCTAATTGTTGTATTTTTAGGAGAGAGGGGGTTTCACCCTGGGCCAGGCTGGTCTCGAACTCCTGACCCCGTGATCCGCCCACCTCAGCCTCCCAAAGTGCTGGGTTTACAGGCGTGAGCCACCACACCCAGCCTGGGCTTTCTTAATACTCACCTCCAAAGAGCTTACGGTACTCTAGGCACTTAGAAAAGAAAGACGCAGGGAGAAAGATTTAAAAATGCAAGCATGAAAAGAAAACAAAGACTAGAATAATGAGAACCTGTGGCATCCTTACCTGGGAAGAAGCCCTGGAGCACTGCTTCTAATATACTCCAATAGAAAATAAGCCCCCACAATTACAGGAGGCCAAGGTTGAAACAGCAGGTTCTCCCAGGAATCTTTAATTGCCACCCTTTTCTGGGAGGCAGTCAGATGGGAAATTAAGGAACAGTTTCAGAATTCAGTATGTAAAAAATAATGAGATAGCATTGCTAATGGAGCCCTGGGTTTACAACCAAATGTTTCTCAGCTGGAAAAAATGTTGATTGAGTATTCCATCTACAGGTCGCCGCTATGGGAGTGTAGTTACTAATTACGGGGGAGTGGGAGGTTGGGGGAACTCAGACTCCTTTGATAAGCTAATGAATTCTACAACTCTTTTCAGAAAATTGCAAATACATAAAATTTTGGATTCTAGGTTACAAATCTCTGCTTTAGGAAACAGAAGGATAATTTATAAATTTAACAAAGAATGAATTGCTTAAGAGATTATGTTAAAAATATATCAAAGGGGCTGGGCGCGGTAGCCTATAATCCCAGCACTTTGGGATGCTGAGGCAGGTGATCACCTGAGGCCAGGAGTTTGAGACCAGCATGATCAACATGGAGAAACCCTATCTCTACTAAAATTAGCCAGGTGTGGTGGCGCATACCTGTAATCCCAGCTACTGAAGAGGCTGAGGCAGGAGAATTGCTTGAACCTGGGAGGTGGAGGTTGTGGTGAGCCAAGATTGAACCATTGCACTCCAGCCTGGACAACAGGAGCAAAACTCCATCTCAAAAAGTGTGTGTGTGTGTGTGTGTGTGTGTGTGTGTGTGTGTGTGTGTGTGTCAAAGTTTAGGGTACTATATTATTAAACTTTGCTTCAACTCTTATTTCAACACATGCCCTAATCCCCTGGTCTATATTAACTGGGTCTCCCTGCACCCTGTGGGTTGAAGGACCACCCAATCAGGAAAGATACCTGTTCAGTTGGTGTCATTCTTCATTTTGGTGAGCCTACGCAGCAATAGTAGAAGAGGCCTATGAGCTGTTCCCTCACTAACACCCTGCCCTTTATAATGTAGATATCAAAAACAACCAAACCTATACAGTAAGTGGCAGAGTAACCAGGTATTTTGAATATATGTGTAATAATAGTGTCTTTTATGTTTTTTCAGAGAAGACTACTCAAGGACCTCAAGTAATTAAAACATATAGACCTTAAACCAAAAAACCCCATGTCTTTAAATCTCTTTCAAATGTTTAACATAATTATAAACTTGTTATTTCCCTAGGGGATGGCATTGCTACTGTTTTTGTGGCAGTGGCAGGCAGAAGTAATGGTTTGGGACCAGTGGTGTCCGGGAACACTGCATATCCAGTTATCAGCTGTCCTCCCCTCACACCAGACTGGGGAGCTCAGGATGTGTGGTCTTCTCTTCGACTACCCAGTGGTAAGATACATTGAATTTTTAAAAACCATTCATTACAAAGATTTAACAGATACACAACAGTAGACAGAATAGTATAATAAAAGCTCATGTGCCCATGACCTAGCTTGAGCAATTAACATCTTGTTGTGTCTACAGCCATCTCTTGCTGCCTTATTTTAAAGCAGCTCTTAGACATTATAGTAATTTATACTTATTTATCTTTAAGCAATGCTGGCTTTAGTTTTTAAATCATAATCATAAATTGTTACAGAACAAAACGGGCCCACTATCTGATGCACAAGAAACCAATACTATCTAAGCCACCAGGTTTTTGAGAAAGAAAGGCTTCCTTTTTCAAGTCGACCAACAAGGAGACATGAGTCCAGCTCAAATCTGACTCCCTATGCTGATTTTAAGGCAGTAATTTTACTAGAAAAGGTTTAGGGGATGGATTCTGGGATTAGTAGGTGATTGGTGGAAGGAAAGGGGAGGTCTAGAAAGTCCTTGGGCATGCACAGTTATCTCTTCATGTTATCTTATGGATCACATGTGTAAATTTGGGAGTTAGTATGAAACGTGGTGGAAATTGGGCCTGTGACATCAGTAAGCTGGTTCTGTGTAGACTCTAGTTGGCCATATTGTTTAATCTATCATCCCTGCAAACTCAAGAATTTCTGTTAGTTGTTGTCTTTTAACTCTTAGGGACACAGTTTCAATACCGTATTCACAGCTAAGAAAGAGTAGTAGTAATTTCGTAAAGATGTAATTTTTAGTTGGTGTCCAAGTTTTCTAAATTTCTCATCTGTTTATAGAGTTGGTTTGTTCAAAAAAAAAAATAAATAAAAAAAAAATAAAAAAAATTAAAAAAATAAAAAGAAAAATAAGAATAGAGTTGGTTTGTTCAGCTCCACCACAGTCCTTATATTGCATTTTAGTTGATAGTCTCTTAATTTTTTTTAATGTATAATAATTCATCCTCCCTTTTTCCCTTTCATTTTTCCTATAGAATTTTCTACATTTTGGATTTGGCTTATTACATTTCTATGTGGTAGTAAACATGTTGTTCCATTCCCTATGTTTTCAATAAACTGATGGTGAGATCTGTAGTAAAATCAAGTTTGGATATTTTTTTCCCAAGAATTCATGGTATTGAGTTTGTTTAAGTATATGTGATCATGTTATTTCTGTAGAGAGAGTAAAATTTTATCCTTAATTATTGGGGATAAAGCTGGGCACAATGGCTCATGCCTGTCATCCTAGCACTTTGGGAGGCTGAAGTGGGCAGATCTCTTGAGGTCAGGAGTTCAAGACAAGCCTGGCCAACTTGGTAAAACCCCATCTCTACTAAAAATACAAAAAATTAGCTGGGCATGGTGGGGAGCACCTGTAATCCCAGCTACTCAGAGGCTGAGGTAGGAGAATCACTTGAACCTGGGAGGTGGAGGTTGCATTGAGTGAAGATTGCACCACTGCACTCCAGCCTGGGCGACAGAGCAAGACTCCATTTCAAAAAGGAAAATTGGGGATAAAAAATAACAACATGAAAATTAGGGATAAAAAAATAATCCTTTTGGCTGATGGAACTAGATCACATAACAGTGTTATGGTTTGTTCATCATAGTCCAGGATATGATCTGATGTTCTGCAATTTATGAGGGTCAATATTGTTTCAGTAGGAGCAGATTTGCTTTATTACTAAAACCCCTAAATTTTCTCATAGATGTATATATCCACTTTTGATACCTGTCAATTATATTAAGTCCTTGAGGCCTCCAACCTGGTCCGGTATGGACTGCTGCTGTCTTAGGATCCCCCTTTACCATCATTTTGGAGACTCATTTTGCCTTTCTCTAGGCTTGGATCTCCCATGTTTTCCTCTTACTTGGTTTATTTTTATTTTGTTGGAGTACATTCTTGAAATTAGTGGCAAAAGAATACAAAAGGTAAATTTTGATACCATGGTATCAAATTGTTTATATTGAAGCCCTACACTTATTTGATAGTTTAGAAATAGAATCCTATGCTGAAAATCATTTTGCCTTCGAATTTGGGGAGCATTGTTACTCCAGTGTCTCCTAGCATCTCCTGGGTTAAGAAATCCTCCCATCTCAGGCTCCCAAAGTGTTGGGATTGGGTAGGAACCACTGCCTCTGGCTTCTTTTGACACAATGTTTTTATATTTCTTTTGGTTTTTGTTTTCTGGGTTGTTGTTGTTTTTTGTGTTTTTTTAAATTTCCAAGAGCTCTTTTATGTGCTTTGGAGATGATTATAGTCTGTTGTATATAGTTAATTTCTTCAGCTGTCTGGTAGTCCTTGGCTGTTTGCTCTTTTAAGAGTGGAACACTATAAAAAAAAAAAATTGGAAACTTTAAGTGGGTGGTGCATGTCAAAATTGGGCTTCACTGTGCGGTGATCTGGTAGGAATTATTCTTCCAATAACCCCTTACATTAGTGTCTAGGTGTTAAGTGTTAAGTGTTGACCAGAAAAAAAAGAACAAAAGTTGTCTGTGCTTGGTGTCCCCTAGTCCAAAGAACCCTAGACTGAAGTCTGTTTTACCTTCAGAAAAATTAAAGGCCTGGTGTGGTGGCTCATACCTGTAATCACAACACTTTGGAAGACAGACATTGGTGGCTTGCTTGAGCTTAGAAGTTTGAGACCAGCCTAGGCAACATGATGAAACCCCGTCTCTACCATAAATATAAAAATTAGCTGGGCATGGTGGCACACACCTGTGGTCCCAGCTAGTAGAGAGGCAAAGGTGGGAGGATTACTGGAGCCCAGGAAGTTGAGGCCACAGCGAGCCGTGATTGTACCACGGCACTCCAACGTGGATGACAGAGCGAGACCCTGTCTCAGAAATAAATAAATAAATAATGTTTAAAAAGAAAAAAAATGCTACAGTGCTTTAAAGAGGCAATTAGGTAGAGTGGGAAAGGAGATTTGAGGGCCTGACTGCTTCTTACACTTTGAATCAATCATCTTCTTAGTAGTCCCTATTTCCTTCCAAAGGTATCTGGTACCACTAATTAGGTTAGTCAACCTTTGGGAGGGTGCTATAATGTCAATCATGTTGCATTCCATCTTTTCCTGCTTTCAGTTGAGGATTAAGTTTTCTTTTTTTTCTTTCTTTTTTTGGTGAGAGTTTGCTCTTGTTCCCCAGGTTGGAGTGCAGTGGCGCAATCTCAGCTCAACTGCAATCTCCGCCTCCTGAGTTCAAGTCATTCTCCTGCCTCAGCCTCCCAAGTAGCTGAGATCACAGGCATGCACCACCATGCCCAGCTACTTTTACATTTTTAGTAGAGATGAGGTTTCACCATGTTGGCCCTGCTGATCTCAAACTCCTGACATCAGGTGATCACCTACCTCAGCCTCCCAAAGTGCTGGAATTACAGGCATGAGCCACCATGCCCAGCTAGGGTTAAATTTTCTTGGTCTGCTAAGTTAGTTACCACTCTGTTTGCCTTTCAGTTGCCATAATGTGACTGCTGTTATCTGGCCTTGTGTGTTTATGCCTGTTTTCATTATTCCCTTGACTGTTTTTATAGGCTCCGAGAATAAAATTTTGTGCCTAAGCTATCTTTAACATGACATGACTATACAAATGTCTCAAGCAAAAAATCAGTGGTTACAAATAAAGCTGTAACCAAATTTATGCCAGAGGAATTGTATAGACATTATCCTTGGAGGTTACAGATGGGGAGCATGATGAGCAAAACATTTTTAATTTTTATGGTATGCTGTTTCTGGAGAGACAATCTGGAAGACTTGTACATAATGATCACTAGAATTGGGGATAATCTTTCGAGGAGTGGTTTTACAGTAACCTGTGTAAAATCCTGAACACTGCCCATTTTTCTCTTTCTCTGATGTCATGCTCACTAGATAACCTTTTTTTATAAAAAAACAATTTAAGCTATTCTTTTACCAGAAAGGGAGTCCTGGGCAAGAGGCATAGGTATTTCAAATATTAGAGTGAAAAACACTACCCAATGTGCCAAAAATAATGGTTGACATTCTTGGAACATATATTGTATACCAGGCAATGCTCTAAACACTTAACCTGTATTAACAACTCATTGAAGTGTCACATCCAGTAGCTACTAGTTACAATTCACTTATAGAAGAGGACAATAAATTAACATGAGGTAACTTGACTAGTACCACATAGTAAGTGGTAGAGCTGCATAAAATAACATACTAATACAAATTAGTAAATTGGCCTTGTGGGGTTTTTTTTTTTTTTTCTTTTTTCGAGACAGAGTCTTGCTCTGTTGTCCAGCCTGGAGTGCAGTGGCACAACATCAGCTCACCACAACCTCTGCCTTGCCGGTTCAAGTGATTCTTCTGCCTCAGCCTCCCAAGTAGCTGGGTTTTACAGGCACCCGCCATCATGCCAGGCTGATTTTTGTATTTTTAGTAAAGACGGGGTTTCATTGTGTCGGTCAGACTGGTCTCAAAACTCCTGACCTTGTGATCCACCCGCTTCATCCTCCCAAAGTGCTGGTATTACAGGCATGAGCCACCACGCCCGGCCATGATTTGTATTTTACTCTGTTCTTTTTGGGGATAATGGAAGTCAAAGAGCCTGATGAATTCCAAGAATACTGGGCAAATGGAGCTCTTGGAACTATAAGCTGCCTAGTGCCTGATTCTAGCAAACGCTAGACATAATTGTACCACCTCAAGACACTGCCTCAACGGACATGTGGCCCCTAGGATGTTACTTTCTTATTCTCCTGTTTTGGATCTTATTACTATTTATTTAAAACTTGACATTTCTTAAAATTATTCTGTGGATTTGACTTTTTTTATTGCTTAAAAATGTTAATAGTTCAAGTGCAGACAGAAAGATTAGCCAGAAAATTATCAAAACAACATAGCTCAAGTTTGTCTGAGAACAGGTATTTCTCTCCATTTACCTTGACCCTTGTTTTACTTCAGTTGTTCTTCACCAGGGATTGAAAGGGATGGTATATGTGAACAGAAGTTTCGAAAAGGTTAAGTTTCTTTGTAAGTGAATTCTATAAGAAGGGTGATAGATGATTTTTATAAAATATCTCTTCATAGGAGATAATACCACTTTTCCTCTTATAATCACTTTATCACTCTGGTATTAAAGTTCTTCTACAGATTCTACTTTTGGTCAGAATAATGCAATAGCTTTTTTTCTTTTTTTTTTTTTTTTTTTTCATTTTATTTTTATTAAGCACTACATAACACACTGCATGCTACATAATATACTGTATAATCTTCTAGCAGGGGTAGATGACCATAACTGAGTTATTTTTTAATCAACCAGGAAAATGCTTCTTTAATCAGTGTTCTCCAAACCCTTTGACTTATAGTAAAGATCAACTCCAGAGATGCGCCTATCTCTTTCCATCAAATTCCATGGATACAAAACATGAGCAACCTTTTTTTCCTTGCTGCCGTTAGTGAACCTGTGGATGTACGCAGTAGACATTCCTGGAATAAGCAAGCACACGCCCATGGTGGCGAGTCCAGGGAGTATCGCGAACCACATCTCTGCCCGGTTACCTAGGCCAAAACCCTACTTCTAGGTCCTTGAAAGGTGACCTGCAATAGCTTTTTATTTTCTGTGGCAGTACTTCTCCAAGTATAAAATGTTTTGTGAGGTTGTATTTTCATTATTAGTTGAGCTCAATTTTCTGACTTTTCCTTTCTGAACCAATAGGTCTTGGCTGTTCAACCATACTTTCTCCAGAAGGATCAGCTCAGTTTGCTGCTCAGATATTTGGATTAAACAACCATTTGGTATGGGGAAAACTGCGAGCAAGCATTTTGAACACATGGATTTCCTTGAAGCAGGCTGATAAGAAAATCAGAGAATGTAATTTATAAGAAAGAATGTCATTGAATTTTTTAGGGGGAAAACTATAAATTTCTAATTTAGCTGAAGGAAAATCAAGCAAGATGAAAGGTGATTTTAGATTAGAGAATACAAACAAAATGTATTAGTGAATAAATGCTTCTCTATATCCATATTAATAAACATGAACACCTAACCCATCCTTTCTTAGGCTAGAGACCAAGATATTTCAGCCAGCTTTTATTTAATTTGTCTTATTTCACCTTTTTCCTTAAGTATTGATGGTCTCTACTATTGAGTTTCTTCCTTAGTACTGATTGAATCATCTTAACTCCCTCAGCTAAAACTAGTATTACTGACGCCCAGCTATGTGTCTCTTTTTTTCTTTTGTTTTGGGGTTGTTGTTTTTTTTTTTTTTTTTTTTTTTTGGAGACGGAGTTTCACTCTTGTTGCTCAGGCAGAAGTGCAATGGCACAATCTCAGCTCACCATAGTCTCCGTCTCCCAGGTTCAAGTGATTCTCCTGCCTCAGCCCCCGCAAATAGCTGAGATTACAGGAGCCCGCGGTGACGCCCAGCTAATTTTGTATTTTTAGTCAAGACAGGGTTTCCTCCATGTTGGTCAGGCTGGTCTCGAACTTCTGACCTCAGGTGATCCACCTGCTTCAGCCTGCCAAAGTACTGGGATTACAGGCATGAGACACCCAGCCAGCTATGTGTCTCTAGACTTGTATTTTCTTTTTTTTTTTTTTTTTGAGACAGGGTCTCAACTGTTGCCTAGGCTATAGTGGCGTGATCTCAGCTCACTGCTGCCTTGCCTCCTGGCCTCAAGCAGTTATCCCACCTCAGCCTCTCGAGTAACAGGGACTAACTATAATCTTGCAGCACCATGCCCAGCTATTTTTTATGTTTTGTAGAGACAAGGTCTCACTGTGTCACCGAGGTTGGTCTCAAACTCCTGGACTCAAGTAATTCTCCTACCTCAGCCTCCCAAAGTGCTAGGGTTACAAGCATGAGCCACTATGCCTGGCTAGACTTGTATTTTCAACTGTCCACTTCTCCCTGTACATCCCATGGGCACTCATAAAAACCAGAATGCTTCCAATTTTATTCCTCTTCCAAGCCTGTAACTCTTAATATACTCACTGTTGCAAGTCAGAACCTTGATTTCATCATTGATGTTTTTCTCATGTTTCACATTTCATTCATCACCAAGTCATGTTAGTGTTAATTTCTGATTGACCCTTAAATTTACCATCTTCTCTTCCTCTGTACAAAAAGCCCAAGTGAGGGTCAGATTCAACAATTATTCTGATCTAGACGGTCCTCATTCTCAATCCTCCATTTTCCAAGTTGATTCCCCAAGGACTTCTAACATAATAAACTCTTTACAAATTCTTTTGCACCACAGACTTCTTTGAAAATATGTATGCTGTTGACCCTCTCTGTAGAAAACAGCACAAATAAAACTTACCAACAGATTTCATTGGTTCTTGGGTTCTCCTGAAGCCTATTCATGGTTTATAGATTAAGAATTGATGACGTAGCTGGGCACAGTGGCTCATGTCTATAATCACAGCACTTGGGGAGGCTGAAGCAAACAGAACACTTGAGGTCAGGAGTTTCAGACCACCCTGGCCAACATGGTGAAAACCTGTCTTTATTAAAAATACAAAAATTGGCCGGGCACGGTGTCTCATGCCTGTAATCCCAGCACTTTGGGAGGCCGAGGTGGGTGAATCACCTGAGGTCAGGAGTTCAAGACCAGCCTGGCCATAATGGTGAAACCCCATCTTAAAAAAAACAAAATTAGCCAGCCATGGTGGTGGGTACCTGTAATCCCAGCTATTCCAGAGGCTGAGGCATGAGAATTGCAGCACCTTGAACTGGAGGTGGGAGTTGCAGTGAGCTGAGATCATGCCAGTGTACTTCAACCGGGGCAACAGAGTGAGACTCTGTCTCAAAAGGAAAAAAAAAAAAAAAAAATTGCTGATATGACCCATGAAGGGAACTCATTTTCCTCATAATTTTTGGACTGCCACACATTGGTACCTTTAGTTCTTCGAAGGCTCATATTTTTATCATTAAGACCTATTTGTTAGTTAGTAGAACTTTATTTTCACTGTCTCCATGAAACCTTTTGTAACCACAGTGACCACAAGTAGTTCTTTCTCTGTTGAATTATTAGGTCCAGAATAGAAGATGTCATTGTATACTTTATTTCCCTCACACTCTGTTATGCCCTGATGTGCTATGCTTAGCTATCTGCCAGAGATGGGTAAATTATAAGACTCATGTGTACTACTTAGGTTTATACCTTATGCTAGTTTATAAGAACAATAAAAGGACTTAAAAGATTAACTTTGGTTTCATGGCCTCTGAAGTCACCAGCTGCTATTTTAGTTTGTTTACCCTGACCTAGCTTTAAGATTCCACCTACTTCTGTGCAGTATATGAAAATTTTTAAGCATCCATTTACACTGGTAGATAGGACTATTATAAGTTGTCACCATCAATTTATTTTTCCTTTTTCTTTTTTTTTTTTTTTAATAAGAGCTGAGTTCTCACTATCTCCCAGGCTGGAATGCAGTGGCATGATCATAGTTCCCTGCAGCCTCTTGAGTAGCTGGGTGCATGTGCCACCATAGCCAATTATGAATTTCATCATTAGTTTCTTAGAGTGCGCATGTCCTCAGCAGTAAATTCATCAGTGCTATAGTAAATATTTGAAGGTATTTCTACTGTTTTGTAAAAGTAACAAGTTTACCTGATCTGCCACCTTTTGAGTATACTTCTACGGGCTTGTAGGTAAACGTGAATAAAAAGAAAATTACCCAAATAATATAGTTTTTAACTTTTTATCATAAAGACATGCTTAGAATTGACGTTAAGCCTTACCACTGAAACCAAGAAAAAGACAAAGATAAGCTCTTAGGCAAAGGTTCCTTAAGGATCCATTCACCCATTACTCGTAGGGCCTCAGAAAGTAGGACTGAACAAAGCCCTTGTCCACATGGAACTTAAGTTTTAGTGGGGAAAACAAACCATTAAAAGGTAAATAGTATAAAATCAGGAAAGGATAAATGCATATGAAGAATCAAAATGAGGACAGTGATGGGGATAAGAGGGGAAGGCTTTTGAGGAAAGCAGAGCAATGATACAAAAAAGCAATATGTGCAGAGATAGGGAAATAGCTTTCCATACCAAGGGAATGGGAAAGCTGAGTTTCACCTTGAGGACCTCCAAACATGAGAATTGCTGGAGCTCTGTGAACAAGAGAGTGGAAGACGATATAAGCAAAGGATAAATCACTTAGGGCCTATAGGCCACACTCAAGTGTGACAGAAAAAAACCACTCAGTTTGAGCAGAGGCCTGACATACTTAACATATTTAAAGGTTCTCTGGCTGTTACGTGGACAAGAGGAGAAGCAGAGATTGGTTAAGAGGCTATTATAGCCCAGGTGCGGGATTATGTGTGATCTTCAACATGTCTAATTTTTTTGTGCCTCAGTTTCATGAAGTTTGAAAATGGGACTAATACCACTTTATAAAGTTAAGATAATTAAATGAGTCAATATATGTAAGCCCTATCGTGGCACACAAATGTGTTATGTAATATCCATTTGGCAGACTGAAGAACAGTATGATTGTAATTCATTCACCGTGAAAATTACTTGCACGCTGGCTCAGGCCTGTAATCATAGCACTTTGGGAGGCCAAGGTGGACGGACCACCTGAGGTTGGGAGTTTGAGATCAGCCTGACCAACATGGAGAAACCCCATCTCTACTAAAAATACAAAATTAGCCAGGCATGGTGGTGCATTCCTGTAATCCCAGCTACTCCAGAAGCTGAGGCAGAATTGCTTGAACCCGAGAGGCAGAGGGTGCGGTGAGCTGAGATCACACCATTGCACTCCAGGCTTGGCAACAAGAGTGAAACTCTGTCGGGGGAAAAAAAAAAAAAAAAAAATTAGCTGGAATTAAATATTCCCATCAGCTGATTTAATTTCTAAAAATATGAAGGGGCAGTGTGATGTGCCATAGAGCATCCACAAACTGCCATTTCAGGCCAGCCGACCTTAGAAAGCCACTGAAGAGAGTTGTTTTTAATGGTGTTTTGGCATCCAGCTTCCCACACCTCAAGTACTTGGGGTGGAATTGTTAATCTCACATTGCAGTACAGTGAAAATAGTGGGATGGAAATCAAGCTAGAAAATTGAGCTAGCTATTATTTCTTTGCTTGCCTCAGAGTTGACAAGATACCATAAGAGACTGTACATGGAAGCCTCTCAGATCATAAATGGCTAAATTTATTAACATAAAAAATATGTTGTGGATACTGACGTGATGGCTAATCTGTCAACTTGACTGGGCTAAGGGATGCCCTGATAGCTGCTCAAACATCATTTCTAGGTGATCTGTGACGGTGTTTCAAGAGACTAGCATTTAAATCAGTAGACTGAATAAAGAAGACTGCCTTCACCCATGTGGGTGGGCATCATCTAATCCACTGAAGGCCTGAACATAAAAGGGGAGGAAGGGTAAACTGTTGGGACATTCATTTTGTGCCCCTAGACATTGGTGCTCCTGGGCCTCAGACCTTCAGACTAGAACTTACATTATTGCCTCTCCTGATTCTCAAGCCTTTGGGTTTGGAACTAAACTGGCTTTCCTGGGCCTTCAGCCTGCAGAAGACAGATTGTGGGACTTCACTTCCATTTTGCTGAGCCAATTTCTCATAATCTCTGCATATCCTATTGGTTCTGTTTTTTTTTATTATTGTTTGTTTTTGTTTTTATTAGAACTAATACAGCCTACTATGTATCTATAAGACCCCTGGGTGCGGGGAAGGGGAAAGACCCCTGGGAATGCAAAGATGAACAAAATTAACTTTCTGCCCTCAAGGAATGTTGGAGTCTCCTGGGGCAGACAATTTCAAAACACTATATTAAGTTTTTTTGTTTTTTTGTTTTTTTTTTGAGACGGAGTTTCGCTCTTGTTACCCAGGCTGGAGTGCAATGGCGCGATCTCGGCTCACCACAACCTCCGCCTCCTGGGTTCAGGCAATTCTCCTGCCTCAGCCTCCTGAGTCGCTGGGATTACAGGCACGCACCACCATGCCCAGCTAATTTTTTGTATTTTTAGTAGAAACGGGGTTTCACCATGTTGACCAGGATGGTCTCGATCTCTTGACCTCGTGATCCACCCTCCTCGGCCTCCCAAAGTGCTGGGATTACAGGCTTGAGCCACCGCGCCCGGCCCTTATATTAAGTCTTAATATGGAATAAGAATAGGGTATTGTAAATACACAAAAGTAGGAAGGGCTCTCTGATCTCTAAAAAACAATTACATATTGTGAATGAAAAGGACTCTGATTTTTCAGTGTATACTCAATCTTTCTCATCTTTCCATAATTTTCTTCAGTAAACTTATTACCACCAAACATAGTACACATTTGTTTATTACCTTATTACCCATCTCTCCCAACTAGAAAATAAATTTATTATTACACTGGGCTGTCTTTGTTGTCAGCTGTATCCCAGCAACTGGTGTAATACCTGGCACTGGCATATACAAGACATTCAAACACTTGTCAAATGAATAAAAGTGCAAATTCGGGAGGTAGGGGGACACACAACTACACAAAAGTTAGAGGAGAACAGTTTGCAAGGGGGCTAGGAAATGAGTAAGAAGACCTCTATGAGTTGAGGTGGCAAGCAGAAGCCAGATCACAAAAGCCCTTACTGCTAGGCCTTGTAGTTCGAATTTTATCATGAGGGTAGGAAAATGGCATCAGATATATGTTTTAAGAGATCAGTATTTTTTTTTCACACCATGTGAAAACAGAAGATGCCATCTATGAATCAGAGTGGTCCCTCACCAGACAATCTTTCCAGCCTTCACAATGTGAGCAGTAAATTTGTTGTTTATTTAAAACAACAAAAACACCATTCTGGCACTCTGGTTTGGAAGATTCCTGTTTCAAAAATGGCGGATTAAGCCCCATAATTATAGGCTGTTTGCCACAAAACTCCATTAAAGTGACATAATACATAGAAACAAATCCATAGCGCTGGGAATTCTGAGGCATTTCTAAGAGCTACAAAGTATATGGGATCAGAATGATACAGAAACCAAAACTGCCAATTCTTATATAAAGTCACTGTTCTAAAAAGTACTACCAGGGCAGTGGCTCTTAACTTTTGGAGGGGATGGTAGACATAAACACCTTTGGAGAATACAATGTAATCTACAAAACATTTTATCAGAATAATAAAATTTGGGGTACCCAATTTTCCCTCACATTTTGGGTGTACCATGTCATCTGGAGCTCCCAACCCCTGAAATCTAAACAACTGGCTTGAAACCTGTGACAGTTCTAGTCAGTAAAAGTCTAAAGCCCTTCTCACGATTTTTACTAATTCACAAGAATTACACCCTCCTGCACCTAGAGTTCAAGCCACCTTTCATGCTCTTTGCATTGTATAATACTGCAATGACCAGACAACAATAGGGCAAGGAACTCACAGATTAGGCAAGGAAAATGAAGCAAAAACTCAGAAAACTGAATGCCCGTGCCAGGCAGTATGCTAAATCCTAGGGATACTGCAGTGAGCAAGGTAAATATGGTTCCTTGGCCTCAGAACGATAGTCCACAACAGAGTGAGATAAGCCTTAATTGATTATCAGTGCCTAGAAGTAGAGAGTCCTATAAAACAGCGGTCTCCCAACTTTTCTGGCACCAGGGACCGGTTTCAAGGAAGACAATTTTTCCAAGGGAGTTGAGGAGGGACAGTTGGTTTCAGTATGATTCAAGCTCATTACATTTATCATTAGATTCTCATAAGGAGTGAGCAACCTAGATCCCTCGCATTCCGAGTTGACAATAGGGTTTGAGCTTATATAATAAGCTAATGCCACAGCTGATCTGACAGAAGCTCAAGTGGTACTGCTTGCTGGCCCACCAATCACCTCCTGCTGTGCCACCTGGTTCCTAACAGGCCGCAGACCATGTACCAGGGTTGGGGACCCCTGTTCTAAGAGGAATAACCAGAATGTTGCCCAATCTGCAAGATCAAATGTTTCCTCAATCTAACTTTCAACCAGAAAGGCTGAAAGACAAAAAGAAGTTAGCAAGGCCGGGCCCAGTGGCTCACAGCTGTAGCCTTTATTTCCTGTACTTTGAGATGCCGAGACAGGCCAGGAGTTCGAGATCAGCCTGGCCAACAGAGTGAAACTCCATCTCTACTAAAAATACAAAAATTAGCCGGGCGTGGTGACTGTAGTCCCAGCTACTTGGGAGGGTGAGGCAGGAGAATCCCTTGAATCCAGGAGGTGGAGATTGCAGTGAGCCAAGATCACACCACCACACTCCAGCTTGGGTGACAGAGCTAGACTACGTCCTGGGGGGGAAGTTAGGTAGGTAGCCCAGGGAATGAGGAAGTAGAAGTTGTGAAGGTCATGACAAGATGAGTCTGAAGAGCAGGCCATTCAATAAAATACATACGATAAGGCCGGACGCGGTGACTCACGCCTGTAATCCCAGCACTTTGGGAGGCCGAGGCGAGCGGATCACGAGGTCAAGAGATCGAGACCATCCTGACCAACATGGTGAAACCCCATCTCTACTAAAAATACAAAAAAATTAGCTGGGCGTGGTGGCGCGCACCTGTAGTCCCAGCTACTCGGGAGGCTGAGGCAGGAGAATTGCTTGAACTCAGGAGGCAGAGGTTGCAGTGAGCTGAGGTCACGCCACTGCACTCCAGCCTAGCGCCTGGTGACGGAGAGACTCTGTCTCAAAAAAAAAAAAAAAACGATAAAATTCACATCAAGTGAATCACTTACATAGTCTAGGTGTGGTGGCTCATGCTCATAATCCCGACACTTGTGGAGAATGTGGTGGGAGGACTGTTTGAGCCCAGAAGTTCCGGACCAGACTGGGCAACATAGCAAGATTACCATCTCTTAAAAAATAAAAATAAAAAGTTACTCACATCAAGTGTACCCAATAGATATCCATTCCCTTCGTACATTTGAACACATCGTGATATTAACGTCTTAAGCAAACCCTAATCTCCTTGTCTATGAGGTTGCTTGTGGGCTATGTGCCAGATGCAAGTATGTATTATTTTACATCTTTAGAACAAATATAGTATCCCTATTTCACAGTCGGGAAAACCGGCTCTCAGAAGCGAAGTAACTTGTTTATTGTCCGGCGTCTAGTGAGTCGCAGAGCCAGGAACTGAACCCGCCCATTTTCACCCCATACTTCCAGCTTATTGCCGACAGCTCCCGAACTGGAGCCAGCCAGCCAAAGGGTTTCACCAAACGTGCTTTGTAATGGGAGATTCTTGCCTTCTTATCTTTTCTCACGTTTGCTTCTCTGCCAGAATGTCCTCCCCCACTTTCCCCAGAACCCAAGTTCTCCTAATCATCTTTCAAAATCCCTTTCTCTCAACCACTGATGAGCCGTGCCTATTTCTCCTTCAAATAACTCCCTACGGTTTCTAGCTGGTAGTCTTCTATTTACCACCTCATAGCCTTTTTATTTACATCCTACAAACGATCGTCCAGCCCCGTGCCGTGGGACCAGGACGCTGCCTCGACCACGGCGGTCTCTTGGAAACATGCTGATTTGAATCGAAACTGGTGGCCGTTTCCCAACCCCGTCTAGCAGTCCGACGCCTCTTTTCTCCTAGCCAACTTCAGGTGAGCTGTATCAACTCTATCCGTGCAAATTTCTTGCTACGAGAGCATATTATGATCTCTGATGCTGCCTCGGTGCTGAAGACCTCCCAACCCCGCAACGCTTAGCAATCACCGGCTTCCTCCTCCACTTGGCTGCCTAGGAGATCCTCTTCCGGGGCAGAGGTCGCCCCGCCCCTCCCCTCGTCTCCTCCAAGATGGCGAGCGGCGGCAGCGGGGGGGTTTCAGTGCCTGCGCTGTGGAGTGAAGTGAACCGGTATGGCCAGAACGGCGACTTCACGCGCGCTCTCAAGACCGTCAATAAGAGTAAGTGTCGGGGTGGGCACCAGGGCGGGCCCAGGCCGGCGGGAGGATGCGGCCTGTTTCCGGCACGCGCGACCGCCTCCGGTAGGCTCGGGAAGGGGAGACCCCCAAGATTCCCCCCAGTCAGCGCCTGGTTCGGGCCCGAACGCCCGGCAGATGCAGGTCGCACCCCTTCGCTCCACCAGGTCATCCTGGGGTCCCTGGTTGCTTAGAGCCACGTGTACTTCCCATTTTAGCCCCCACGGGAAGCAAGGGAGGGTTTTAAAGAGACCGCAGCTCCCGGGGCCCATTTCAAACTGTTTTCTTATTTGACTCCTTCTCTTCTGCTTTATTTCACAAATATGCCACATTGCTGCTTTTTCTTCTTCATCTTAAGCGCAGTGATCCAGACTGTATTGCTGAGGGAGCTTGTTTTCTTTGGCCGCTGAAGGGGCAGGAACCTGCTTGGGACACGTAGTTTAGAAGCTGTTGCTGACAAGGTGGAAGCTGTATGGATTCCACGGGGCGAGAGGAAAGGGCTGAATCTGGATGTCAAGCCTGTCATTCCCGTAGATAGAATCTCTTCAGTGTTATTAAGCTAGGAAATAAGTGTGTGGAAGCACCAACACTTGAAATAATGTCGGAAGAAAAGTTGGCCTGTTTTTTGTTTTTGTTTTTTTTTGTCCCTGTAAGGGATAATTTCAGGTTTTGCTGCCTTTGGTGTGAGGTTCAATTCATCATACTCTTTTATTCTTTCTACATACCTGGAACATGTCCATGCTACTTAATGTTCTCGGCGGTGCGCAGTTCTTCTCTACTGAAGATACAGCCTGTGCATGTTAGATTTGGAAATGTAACTACCAAGGCAGGGCCTAGCTGTTCAGAGTAGCAGTAACTAAAAAGGTATGTCAGTAACACACAAACCTATCTAAATAATTTTCAACACTCTCGTGCTGGGTTAACGTGAACAGTAGTGATTGTGCCCACAGTGCACTTCTGGTGATTTCAGACATTTAGAAAAATAGCTACGAATTAGTGTTATTTGATCCCTAAATTTCTTTGAATTAACTCTAACCTTCCAACCAGTACGATATGCTTAGTAGTAGTGTAGTATTTTGCAGGAATTCTTTAATCAGCAAAGGTTGTCAACCTTGCTCACCAATGTGTTTTCTTAATTGGTAGAAGTTCTTCTGATTCTTTGAGAATTGGACTTCTGTAGTTGCACAGGAGCAAGAGTCACTATGATCCTGGTCATTTTAACACTGAACAGCTGTTAGCATTGAAACTTGCCACCTGAGTTCTTCCTTATACTTCTCTTTGGTTGCCTTCGGTGAAAAGAGAATATTTTAATGATTTTTGGAAACGTTGCCATCAAGATAAATTGCCTTTGCGTTATACTTTATAATTTATTTTTCCAAAATATTCTCATTTCATGTTGTCAGTAACCTTATTAAGTAGGTAATACTTTTGTAATCATTTCGTAACTCAGAAAACTGAGATTTGGCTGTTAAGTGTTATGTCCAAGACCCCCAGGCATTTGGTGGCAGGCTTGTACCAAACCTACGTCATTTGCTTCTGAATTGTACCTGAACTTTTTCTCTGTGAAGTAATGAAATATGTAGGATGTAGCTTGCATTTCAAGATGAAAAATCTGGAGACGTTGCTTCTTCTTTATTTCACTGCACTTTCTTGATACATGCGTATTGGGAATCTTTATCTCATTGAAAATTTAATCTATAACTCTGCTTATTGTCACTTCTTAAGTTAAAAGTGAAGATTAGTTGTTTTTTGGGTTTTGTTTTGTATTGTTTCCTGTTTTTTCTGGTTGTTTTGACCAATTATTTCTGTTGCAGCAAAATTTCAAATTTAGCTTTCAGAGATACAGGGTGGGAAAATTTAGGTAAAAATGTGAAAAGGAAATGGATTTAAAAATGACTTTCCTAAAATTGTTCTCTAGTATTACAGAGCAACAAAGATGATGTAACTGCCCTGCATTGTAAAGTGGTATGCCTTATCCAGAATGGAAGTTTCAAGGAAGCCTTGAATGTCATCAATACTCACACCAAAGTGTTAGCCAAGTAAGTGATTTAGTTAGTTGCTTGTACAGTTATTAGAAACACTTAGTATAGCTATCGGCTGGGCACAGTGGCTCACGCCTGTAATCCCAGCGCTCTAGGAGGCCGAGGTAGGTGGATCACGACGTCATGAGTTCAAGACCAGCCTGGCCAACATGATGAAACCCTGGCTCTGCTAAAACTACAAAAATTAGCTGGGCATAGTGGCACCGGGAGGCTGAGGCAGGAGGATTGCTTTAACCTGGGAGGTAGAGGTTGCCATGAGCCAAGATTGTGCCACTGCATTCCAGCTTGGGCAACAGAGTGAGACTCTGTCTCAAAAAAAAAAAAGAAAGAAAGAAACACTTACTATAGCCATATTCTCTTCCATGATTTTTTCCCAACTATTTGCTGATTTTTTTTAACCTTGTTCCTTTTACTTGTCAGTAGTGTTTCTGAAACTGTAAGGAGTACTAGTAACTTTTGTTCCTTTCATCCTTAGGGAGCCTTTTTTTTTTTTTTTTTTTTTTCCTAACCACTGTCTTCCCTTTGAACCACTAAGGAGGTGAACCATAGAGAGTTGTGGGGTATAATTATGAGGAGGATGTAGGGAGAATAACTTAGTAGAAATTTCTTTACTGTTATACATAGGCTCCAAAAAAATATGTATTGAAATTAAGCTTGCAGCATATAAACAAACAGTATAAAGAGAAACAATGAATAAATAGTTATTTGTAGGAGATGATACGAACAGGTTAGATTTGGGTAGCAGTGGGAATAAAGCCTCTTAGTGTATCTCTTTTTTTTTTATATTTGAGCCATGTAAATGTGTTAGAGATTAAAAATTAATTTTAAACTTTATTAAAAATAAAAGGGAAATAGAGGCTGCTGCTTTTCTCCTATTAAATATGTTTGTGCTAAAATTCAGTGTTTTGATTTTGGGCTATTTTGTGAGATAAGAGACATTTTCAAAAACATTTTGTTAATGAGTCTTGGATAAGAATATTTATAAAAATACATTTTTTTTTGAGACAGAATTTTGTTCTTGTTGCCCAGGCTGGAGTGCAGTGGCGCCGTCTTGGCTCACTGCAACCTCCACCTTCCAGGTTCAAGTGATCCCCCTGCCTCAGCCTCCTAGGTAGCTGGGATTACACATGTGCACCACCACTCCTGGCTAATTTTTATATTTTTAGTAGAGACGGGGTTTCACCATGTTGGCCAGGCTGGTCTCGAACTTCTGACCTCAAGTGATCCACCCACCTCAGCCTCCCAAAGTTCTGGCATTACAGGCATGAGCCACCGCACCTGGCCCAGAAGTAAATTTTTTGTTAGGTAAGTAAATAAAGGACATTGGTCTTTGCTTTGATAGACATTTTTCCTCATAGATTATGGTTGAAACATCAACAATGAGGTGTCACATTAATGTGGATGAATTTTTTTTTTTTTTTGAGACGGAGTTTCACTCATGTTACCCAGGCTGGAGTGCAATGGCGCGATCTCGGCTCACCGCAACCTCCGCCTTCTGGGTTCAGGCAATTCTCCTGCCTCAGCCTCCTGAGTAGCTGGGATTACAGGCACGCACCACCATGCCCAGCTAATTTTTTTTTTTTTGTATTTTTAGTAGAGACGGGGTTTCACCATGTTGACCAGGATGGCCTCGATCTCTTGACCTCGTGATCCACCCGCCTCGGCCTCCCAAAGTGCTGGGATTACAGGCTTGAGCCACCGCGCCTGGCCCAATGTGGATAAATTTTTAAACGTGTGTATGTTAGTAGTATTTACCAGTTATTTGGTTACAAATACTTCTTTTAAGATTTCTAGTTATTTTTTCTTTGCTAATTATTTCTTAAACAAGTTTAAAGAAGCATTATGTGGCTTACTCCTTTGTTAATGAATTTAAGAAACTTATAAACCTATTTAAAACAGCCTTCAGATTATCTTTGTATCTAAGACAATTATTTAGCAGATGAATGATTTCTTTCTTAAGTGTTTATTTCAAAAGGCCAATAATTCTAATAAGAATATTCATGAAAGAGAGGCTAGGGAAATTGGTAAATGCTTAATTATATGTTTGATTGATATACGTTTACAAGCTGTCTGATATTTGGACAAGTCTCTAACCTTTGTCAGTTTTCTCATCTGTTTTGGGGACTAAATCCAGAACTTAGAACAGTGTCTGGTAAGTAATGGGCACATTGCATTGATAGATAATAATCAGATACTGGTTTTTTTCCTTCTTCAGTAACTCTCTCTCCTTTGAAAAGGCATATTGCGAGTACAGGCTGAACAGAATTGAGAATGCCTTGAAGACAATAGAAAATTCCACCCAGCAGACAGACAAACTGAAGGAGCTTTATGGACAAGTGGTAATTACTGCTTTTAAATACATGTTGACAATCATCCTGAGTGAGCATGACTACCTCTAGCAAGGAGCAGGGATGAGGAAACCCAGCCCATCCTGATGCTCCGCAAAACTGGCCACCAAACCAGTCCTTGAGGTTTGAATATATTCCCTCTTCTTGATCTTCATACAAACAGCTGCATATATAATGTGCTATGAACAAATGACTTCCTCAGGGTAATTAGAAATTCAAAGAAAATGAAAGAACTAGTCTGTTTAATTTGGACTTTTTAGTTAGAGAGATGAACCACGTTGAGCTTGTATACTTACACAGATTTGAAATAGTATTTCACTGATATTTTGTTCTAAGTTTAAAATAAAGGATATCATGATAGATAAGAATTTAGATGATTCTAGCCCATGAAATCGTGAAAATATTTTAAAGTATTTTGAGACATAAAATTAAGCCTAATGCAAAATAGGGCTGTTAATGACAAGAGGATAGGAATGTGTATATTAGAGCTAGCAAAACCCCCTTAAATTTTTTTTGTTTGTTTTTGTTTTGAGACAGAGTCTCGCTCTCTTGCCCAAGCTGGAGTGCAGTGGCATGATCTCGGCTCACTGCAACATCTGTTTCCCAGGTTCACGCAATTCTTCTGCTTCAGCCTCCCTAGTAGCTGGGATTACAGGCATGCACCACCTCACCCAGCTAATTTTTTTTTTTTTCGAGTCGGAGTTTTGCTCTTGTTGCCCAGGCTGGAATGCAATGGCACAGTCGTGGCTCGCTGCAACCTCTGTCTCCTGGGTTCGAGCAATTCTCCTGCCTCAGCCTCCTGAGTAGCTGGCGTTACAAGCATGCGCCACCATGCTCAGCTAATTTTGTATTTTTAGTAGAGACAGGGTTTCTCCATGTTGATCATGCTGGTCTCGAACTCAAGGCAGGTGATCCACCTGCCTCAGCCTCCCAAAGTGCTGGGATTACAGGCAATTTTTATATTTTTAGTAGAGACAGGATTATGCCATGTTGCCTAGGCTCGTCTTGAACTCCTGGCCTCAAGTGATTTGCCTGCCTTGAACTCCCAAAGTAGTGGGATTACAGGCATGAGCCATTACACGTAGCCTCCTCCTAAAGACTTTTAAATGTGAATTTAGGGCAAATAATGTTGCATTGAATCTATTGTCCTCAGGAGGTAGTATGAATTTAATAATACAAATGAATTGAGGAAAGGTTTGGACAAATTCATGGATTATAGGCCTATAAAAAACTTTTAAGGTAAACTGGATAACTTCAGCGTAATTCTAGCGTTTTGAGGTTGATTAAGGACACCAATCTGTGTCATACATAGTGGACTAATTGACCTAGAGTGGCAGTTGTTCTTTTAGCACAAGTTGAATGAAATCACTAGGAATTCTGTTGTGTCTGCTTGAGACTGACCTGTGTGACAGCTGGTTTCTGAAAAAGATAAAATGAAGATTGTAGTGAACTCCTAGGAAACGTTAAGGTTTTTTCTTAACATTTAATTTCGTTACTGTTTTACTAATTATTTTGTGTTCTGGAAAAATATTTTTATTGTAATTTCAGATCTAGGTAGCAGGGTTGAATTCTGTAGAAAGGTTTTCTTTCACAACCTATTTAGGGACTTAACTAACTTCAAGGAGAAAGGTAAAGAAAATGACTTTTCTCAACTGAATCCTGCCTGTAGGTCTGCAGTATAATAAACATTCATTATAAAAGTATTTTCAAAAAGTAACTTTTTGGAAGTATTACTAGTACGTGGAACTAATTTAAAAATTATAAAACATAAACAGTTGATTGTTACATTATGCTGGACTAGGATTCTTACTTAATGGTTCCAGAAAAGGCTTGTATGGTATAAAGACATAGCACCATATTTGTCTCCGATTTTTTACTTTCTATTTATTATTCAGTTATACCGTTTGGAACGCTATGATGAATGCTTAGCGGTATATAGAGATCTCGTCCGAAACTCCCAAGATGATTATGATGAGGAGAGGAAAACAAACCTTTCAGCAGTTGTTGCAGCTCAGAGCAATTGGGAAAAAGTGGTTCCAGTGAGTATCCTTGTGTACCCATACAGTCATGAAGTAATATTCATGTTTAGTATTTAACTGGCATTTTGTCCCCTGACAGGAGAACTTGGGCTTCCAAGAAGGCACGCACGAGCTGTGCTACAACACTGCATGTGCACTGATAGGCCAAGGCCAGCTGAACCAAGCCATGAAAATCCTGCAAAAAGCTGAAGGTTGGAAGTTTGTTAAACTTATCTGTAAATATAATGTGCATATAACTTTGTAGAGTATCTTCTAAAATTGCATCTGATCTCTGTGAAATTAGTAAATGGAAGTTATTGATACAGTGACAATTTCTCAAAGTTCATGTGGTCTTTCACTTTTCTTTTTTTTTTTTTTTTTTGAGACAGAGTCTTACTCTGTCACCCAGGATGGAGTGCAATGGCACGGTCTCAGCTCACTGCAACCGCTGCCTCCCGGATTTGAGTGATTCTCCTGACTCAGCCTCCCAAGTAGCTGGGCTTACAGGTGCACACCATCACACCCAGCTGATTGTTGTATTTTTAGTAGAAACAGGATTTCACCCTGTTGGCCAGGCTGATCTCGAACTCCTGGCCTTAAGTAACCCACCTTCCACAGCCTTTCCAAATGCTGGGATTACTGACATGAGCCACCATGCCCAGCCAAGTCTTTGTCTTTTTGACCATATGTCTCCTATATTTCTAATCCCTACGCCAGTCTATTAGTCCATTTCCAACCATACCAGACCTTGAAGTTTGAATTTTGAGGAGCCGGTTTTGAACAAGTTACTATGAATGCTATATGTAAATTGAGTTAATAAATGTCAACCATTTACAATAGTACATGGCATATAGTATAAGCATTCAGTAAATATTTGTTACTGTTATTGTTGTTAAATAGGTATTCAAGAAATAACATGGTGGGCCTATGTGTGTGCACACATATATACTACATTCATGTATTGATAGCACCATTCAAGCACATTGTTTTTGTTTTTTTTTGTTTGTTTGTTTTTGAAATGGTGTCTCACTCTGTCACCCAGGCTGGAGCACAGTAGTGCAATCTCACTCAGCTCACTGCAACCTTCACCTGCAGGGTTCAAGTGATTCTCCTGCCTCAGCCTCCTGAATAGCTGGGACTACAGGCATGCGCCACCACACCTGGCCAATTATTGTATTTTTAGTAGAGACAGGGTTTCACCATGTTGGTCAGGCTGGTCTCTAACTCCTGACCTTCTGATCCGCCTGCCTCGGCCTCCCAAAGTACTGGGATTACAGGCATGAGCCACCGCGCCTGGCCTTAAACATGTTTTAAGTCCATTTGGTATATTTCTGTGTGTAATATTTGCATGCTTTGAAGCTTTTTTGGGGTGGGCCACAGCAGGGGACAGAGTCTTGCTTTGTCACCCAGGCTGGGGCGCAGCGGTGAGAACTTGGCTAACTTCACCCTTTACCTCTCAGGTTCAAGCAATTCTCATGCCTCAGCCTCCCAAATAGCTGGGATCACAGGCATGCGCCACCATGCCCAACTAATTTTTGTATTTTCAGTAGAGACGGTTTTCACCGTGTTGGCCAGGCCGGTCTCAAATTTCTGTCCTCAAGTGATCTGCCTGCCTTGGCCTCCTAAAGTGCTAGGATTATAGGCATGAGCCACTGCACCCAGTTGAAGCTTTTAATTAAGAAAAAAATTAATTTATTAGAGAACTATGTCTGTTATTAACACATGAAACATTTTGACTTTGCTTGTGCATTCATTTTCCCTGGAAGCTGTAAAAGTGATGTAGAGATTGCAGTTATCATTGGGATGGGAAAAAAAGGTGAAACAAAGTCTTTTTTCTATTAAATATTAGGGGTTAAAATGAGCAAAGTGTTACTGTTAAATGTTGAAGGTTAAAGTAGGAGCAAAGGTTAGAACATCATGAGAAGAAAAACCTGTTTAAGAATTGTAATTCCTTGGCTGACTGCGGTGGCTCATGCCTATAATTCTAGCACTTTTGGAGGCCGAGTCAGGAGAATTGCTTGAGCCTTGCAGTTCAAGACCAGCCTGAGCAATAGAGTAAGCCCTTGTTTTTTGTTTGTTTGTTTTTGAGACAGAGTCTCACACTGTTGCATGGGCTGGTGCACAATGGTGTGATCCCAGCTCCCTGCAACCTCTGCCTCCTGGGTTCAAGCGATTCTCCTGCCTCAGCCTCCCAAGTGGCTGGGATTACAGGCAACCACCACCATGCCCAGCTAATTTTTTGTATATTTAGTAGAGATGGGGTGTTACTGTTTGGCCAGGCTGGTCTCAAACTCCTGACCTTGTGATCCACCCACCTCAGCTTCCCAAAGTGCTTGGGATTACAGGCGTGAGCCACCGTGCCTGGCCGTAAGCCCACATTTTTACAAAAAAAAAGTATATTTAGCTGGGTGCACCCAGCTAAATGTGATCAACAATTAAAATTTCTCAATCATACCCAATGAAGAATATTTTCATACATTGCAGGTTTAAATATAAGAGTAATAGAGACTTTTCAGTGAGCAGTTTGGTGACGTGTAGCAGATTTTAAAAGTTGCACACCCTTTGATCCAATAATTTCACTTCTAGAAACTTACTTTGAGGAAATGATTAGATAAATTTATGCATGTGTGTATGAATATTCATTGAAGGGATATTCATAAGAACAGAAATTTAGAAACAGCATGAATTTCTGTACTATTAAAGGATTGGCTAAGTTTTACCATAATCACAAAATAATTACTATACAATCAATCATTACAACCAATAACATTTTTTAAAAATACAGTAATGTAGATCTGTGTTTATTGTAATAGAAAGATGTCCACAGGATATTGAATGGGGAAGGCAGGTTTCAAAATAGTATCTCACTTGCATTTTAAAATGGAGCTGTGCATTTACATCAAATGAAGCTGGGTATGGTGGCTCACACCTGTAGTCCCAGCTACTTGGGAGGCTGAGGTGGGAGAATCACTTGAGCCCAGGATTTCAAGGCTGCAGTGAGCTGTGATTAAGCCACTGCACTCCACCCTGGGCAGCAGAGTGAGACCCTAACGTTTAAAACAAACAAAAAATATTTAAAAAACTAAATAACTGAAACACTAGCAGTGTTTATCTCCGAGTGGTAGGATTATTTATTTTTATACTTTCCTATAATTGATATTTTACAATTAACATTTACTACATTTATATTTTGTAATGCCCTTTACAAATGTTTTTAGCATAGAGACAACAAATAAAAGTGACAAAGAGCTAGGAAAGTCAGAGGCTAATAATATATATGCAATATATTTGAGGCTAATGTAAATTTCACAGTTGCTTGTTATTGTGCTTATCGTGGAATCTTCTGCCTAGGAATTTAGATCTTGCTCTTTGGAATAGTGAAAGAAATGGGATTTACCCAGCAATAATGCTTTTAAAACAATTTTTCTTGTATAGATCTTTGCCGCCGTTCATTATCAGAAGACGCTGTAAGTATTCCATCATTGTTAAACCTTAATTTTATACTTCTGACTAATATAAATTACTGAGAGGCTTCATTGTACTGTTTATTGACTTTTTTAAAAAGATGGTAATTCAATAAATAGGAATCACACAAGAAACCACCCTCTTGATCAGTTATTTGATCAAGTCTATTAGAGAAAGAAATCGCAATACAAAAAATTTTTATATACCTTAAATATTTCATTATAAATTTATACAGTATAAATTCTCCTATTTTAGGATGTAAGGCTAAGGTCTTTGAGGATGGGTCTACTCATAGGAGTTCCACGTGTATTTCTTATCTAATGACATAATTCAACATTCACAATTTCTCCTTTTTTTTTTTTTTTTTTTGAAATGGAGTCTTGCTCTGTTGCCCAGGCTGGAGTGTAGTGGCGCCATCTTAGCTCACTGCAACCTCCACCTCCTAAGGAGTAGCTGCGATTACAGGCACGTGCCACTGCACCTGGCCAGTTTTTTTTTTGTATTTATAGTAGAGACGGGGTTTCACCATGTTGGTCAGGCTGGCCTCAAGCTCCTGACCTCAGGTGATCCACCCACCTTGGGTCCCCAAAGCGCTGGTATTACAGGCACGAGCCACTGCGCCCAGCCAACTTTTTTTTTTTTTTTAAAGTGTAACAATATCTTAAAGACAGTTGATAAGCACTTTCATTATAGAGTCCTTAAAGATTTTTTTTTTTTTAACCAGTCTCTTAACATTTTTTGGCTCACCAATTAGACATTAACTTTCTTTTAGGAATTTACCTTTACCATGTCTTTCTGAGTATTCAACATGATTTACATTGAATTATGTCTCTTTTCTAATTCATAGTTCACTCTCCTTTTTTTTGGCGGGGGGGAGAGACAAAGTCTCAGTCCGTTGCCTAGGCCTGGCTAATGTTTTGTATTTTAGTAGAAACAGGGTTTCACCGTGTTGCCCAGGCTGGTCTCAAACTCCTGAGCTGAGGCAGTCCGACTGCCTCGGCCTCCCAAAGTGCTATTATTAACAGGCATGAGCCACCATGCTGGCCTTTGTTTGTTTTTTGGCACAAGATCTTGCTGTTTCACCCAGGCTGGAGTACAGTGCTGTGATCGTAAGGTCACGGTAACCTCAAACTCCTGGCTCAAGCAATCCTCTCACCACAGCCTCCTGAGTACCACCACCATGCCCAGCTAATTATTTCCTTCTTTGTAGAGATGGGAGTCTCGCTGTGTTGTACAGGCTTGTCTCAAACTCTGGGCCTCAAGCGATCCTCCCGCCTCAGCCTCCTAAAGCACTGAGATTATAGGCATGAGCCACCATGCCCAGCAAATAGTTATTCTCTTTAATATTTAAGTTTTGTCATTTCCTTATCAAACGCAACTGCATAATGGTTTTGAAAACAAACATATCTGACTCCTGGTCAGCAGATACTTACCAGGTGAGAGCAGGAGTATTGGGTTGCTAAAGGAGAGTTATCTCCTAGTCTTGAGTATTCATAGTACAGCCTTTTCAGAAGGAGAAATGTGGATTAACCTGGAGCATCAGTTAAGAGAACTACTACTTTAATTACAGAATTTGTTCAATTATGGGATGAGTTTAAGTATAGAATTAGTTCCAGCTTTTGAAGTTTTTTGTACAGTGTTAATTGGAATTTTATAGTTTTTGTATTAGAGTTATGGTAGAATAAAGAGAAAAGCATTTTTAAATGTGATTTTTATAAGAATTATGTTTCCAGAATTTTGGTATCATTATAAAAAGATGTACTTGCATTCTGGTTTTTTACTTATATTTTTTAATTCTTGGGTTTTAAAGGATAATAATGATTAGTAAATGGTATTCCTAAACTTGTTATCATGTTCTTCTAGGATCTTTTTGCCTTTTTTTTGCTTTAGATACTTAGACGTCGAAATCTTTTTGCTGTTTTCATTTAAACTTCTCTCATGGTGGCAATTTCTAAAGAACTGACTCTAAGGGAAAATTTCTGAAATTGTATGTCTTCTTTAGGATTGTATCTCTTTTGAATATTTGGATCATTTGGTAAATATGTAGATCAGTTTGGAAAATTTATATGAGAAAAATGTTTCTTTCTCTTAGGATGGGACTGAGGAGGACCCACAGGCAGAACTGGCCATCATTCATGGTCAGATGGCCTATATTCTGCAGCTTCAGGGTCGAACAGAGGAGGCTTTGCAACTTTACAATCAAATAATAAAACTAAAGTAAGTGAGTTGTTAAAAGGAAGTATCTTTTATAGGGGATGGGGTTTCTTTTTGAAGGTTTGTTTGGTTTTGACTGTTGCTTTTTGTTCACAGACCAACAGATGTGGGATTACTAGCTGTAATTGCAAATAACATCATTACCATTAACAAGGTATGGAATATTTGTGGCTTTCCTACAGATGTATTTTACCCTGAAAGCTCATCACCCTAGTTTTAGTTTTGTTCTAGGTTAGGCTAACTGTTCATTGTAACATGAAAAAGTCCAGTTGTAGCAAAATCACAATGGACAGTATTACTTAATTCTTCTAATGATAATGATGCTACAAGGTATATTCAAGTAATACAGCTTTTTTGTAATAGATCCTAGACTTTAAGATCCTCCCCTTTTCCTAGTGTGTAATAATATAAAGACTCTCTCTTTGTAAGAAATATAAATTGTTGAGGCTTTTAGACTTTAAGTGTATGCATGTTTTATGTGATTTCCGCTATGGAACCTGAGTGTGCAAGTGTTGTTCTTTCTATAATTTTTTCTTGAGTTTTATTTTTTAGGGGGTATGGACAGGTGCCCTTTCACCTCCACCATATGCCATCCCATGTAAAATATTACAAATATATAAGCACTTTAGTTTAACTTAGAGTACTACTGTACTAATGTCATTAGCCACCATTAGGAACACTCTTTTAATGGAAAAAGCTTTCTTTTTCCTTTTTTTTTTTTTTGAGACTCTCACCCAGGCTGGAGTGCAGTGGTACAAACATGGCTCACTGTAGCCTCAGACAATCCTCCCAAGTAGCTGGGACCCCAGGCACACACCACCATGCCCGGCTAATTAAAAAACCAAAAAAATTTTTTTGTAGAGACAGAGTTGCCATGTTACCCAAGCTGGTCTCTAAACTCCTGGGCTCAAGCAGTCCTCCTGCTTCAGCCTCCCACATTGCTGGGAGTCCAGGCATGAGCCACTGCACCCACCCTAGAAAAATATTTCAAGTTCACATTTGAAATTCAAATGAGTGGAAAGTAAGAAAAGTAACATTTGAACATATGATCATCTAAATTCTAGAGGGCATAGCTTGTAGAAATTGCAAAATAAGGTATTTTTGTAGTCCTAATACAGTCCAAGATTTGTGCTGTCCCTTTTTTTCCTTCAAAAAGCTCAAAACAAGCTGTTAATAGTAGAAAAATAAAATGGTAATCTTGTTCTTCATTTCTTCAAAGCAGTTCACTTGTTAAGCTCTTTTATATCTAGAAAGCCTCCTTTGAGAAGGCTCTAAAAGGAGTGGGGCTAGATTCTGAGATAAATATATGTGCATGGGTAGATTTGAATTGCAGAGATTTTGTTTACTTCTGTGAACTAAGATAAATTTATATGTATCTTATTAGTTTAAGCACCCCAGTCAGGTAGATATATTTAAGCTCTCCTTTTGTGTTTATGTAAAGTTAATTTAAAAAGGAATAAGTTGAAATCTGAGATTGTGTTAATGGTGGATAAACTTTTCTTTGTTAGGACCAAAATGTCTTTGACTCCAAGAAGAAAGTGAAATTAACCAATGCGGAAGGAGTAGAGTTTAAGCTTTCCAAGAAACAACTACAAGCTATAGAGTTTAACAAAGCTTTACTTGCTATGTATACAAACCAGGTGGGTAGTCGTGGCTAAGCCTTTTGTAATATGGTATGTGAGGAATAATAAGGATATTATAGTTTTTGTTTACATTTTGTCTTCAACTCATAAATACATATTTTTTCCTTCCTCAGAATATTATATATATAATTCGCCAGGCACCGTGGCCCACACCTGTAATCCTAGCACTTTGGGACGCCAAGGCGAGCAGATTGCCTGAGCTCAGGATTTTGAGACCAGCCTGAGCAACATGGCGAAACCCTGTCTCTACTGAAAATACAAAAGATTAGCCAGGCATAGTGGTGCACGCCTGGAGTCCCAGCTAATTTCTTAAAAGGGTGTAGGGTTGACATCTTTTAAGGGGAAGAAAACAGTATTCACACTTTAAATGAGATGACTTTCTCATTACCTTATTTCTTTTTTTTTTTTTGAGACAGAGTTTCACTCCTGTTACCCAGGCTGGAGTGCAATGGCGCGATCTCGGCTCACCACAACCTCCGCCTCCTGGGTTCAGGCAATTCTCCTGCCTCAGCCTCCTGAGTAGCTGGGATTACAGGCACGCACCACCATGCCCAGCTAATTTTTTGTATTTTTAGTAGAGACGGGGTTTCACCATGTTGACCAGGATGGTCTCGATCTCTTGACCTCATGATCCACCCGCCTCAGCCTCCCAAAGTGCTGGGATTACAGCCTTGAGCCACCGCGCCCGGCCTTCTACCTTATTTCTAATTTGATTAAGATAGAATCATCAAAGGTGCTAGCCATGATTATAGATTTAAGATCCATCTTTCATTTTTGCTGTGTGTCATCACATCAAGTTATTAATGTTAAGGAGATCAATTCTAACTCCAGTAAGCACTCTAATTCTAATTTTATACTCTTTTAGAGCAGAAGTTTTAATGGGAAAATGAGAGGCAGTAATGTTTTTATTATTTAGAATTGAGTCAAGTTATTCTTAATAGTTTAGCAAGAAATACGTATGTATTTTGTTGTTTTTGAAGCAAATGCTTATACTTGATGTGTTTGGCTTTTTTTAAAACAGTTTTAGAATTTAGGCATCCAAGTGAATGTTAGAACTTGTCCTTTACTAAAGGCTTTTAGAGCTTTTAAATTCA